TAACAAAATGATTGAGTTGACAAAAAATTATCACAATAACAAATCTCGGTATATCATACTTATCTACTTTGGTTCAATGCATGTGAATTAAAGGAGATGCACATTTGTATATATTTCACAGGCTTAAAATTTAAGTGGTATGTGTATGTATTTGCAGAAGTGTTACAATTTAAAAACATTTTCTTTGCATGCACTTTGAAATTACATGTATATACAGATGTATACCAGTATGTAGCATGGAAAAAAAGCCAAATACGATCATGGTCAGAGAAACAGCACTTTTTTTCCATTCACAAATTATCTACATTGTCTTATATTTTGATTGTGTAATATTCAATAGAAACTTAGAAGTGTTTTTGCAATTTCTATTTATTTTGTTTAATTTTGTGTCCAAAAAAGAAAGAATCAAACCACATATAACTAAGTGTAGAATCAAACTCCTGTCTCATGGAACACATTTTATGAGAAAAAGCTATCCAAACCTGATTATTTTTAGCTTTGTTTTTTTATCACCCCCCCCCCCCCCCCCAAAAAAAAAAACAAACAAAAAAAGACAAGTTTTGGTCAGTCTATGTTATTTTGATGTCCACAAAAACTTTGATCTTGCCTAGCTTTTAAATGGTTAGAGTTAGGACTTTCATATTTCATTTGTATATTTTTGCGACAAGACCATCATTTTTGACCTCATGACCTGTACCTTTGAGTATTACCTATTTTTGGAAAAATTTAACCTTGGCTATAACTTCTGAATGGTTGGTGCTAGGGCTTCCATATTTTACATGTGTATTTCTTGTGGAAAGACCTTTCTTTGGGTAGCAACATTTTTGACCTCTTGACCTTAACCTTGGAGTTTGACCTACTTTTGATAAGCTGTAACCTTGACCATAACTGTTGAATGGATGGAGCTAGGGTTTCATGTTTCACGTGTGTAATTCTTGTGACAAGACTTTTTTTGTTTGCAATATTTTGACCTCATGACCTTGAACTTGGAGTTTGACCTACTTTTGAAAAGTTGTAACATTGGCCATAACTGTTGAATGGTTAGAGCTAGGGCTTTCATATTTTACACGTATACTCTCTGTGTTATAACTTTTCTTTGGGTAGCATTATTTTTTTTTACCTCATGACCTTGACCTTGGAGTATGTCCTTCTTTTGAAATTTTTTCACTTTGAACTTGAGCTGCAATATGGGGGCAACAGTTTTTCACAATCACTTTTTTTTAAAACTTTTGTAAATTAAATTTTATTGCAGATGTCATCTGGCCTGATAATATACTCATTTGGGAAACATGAAAAAATGGACGAATTCACTATTTTCTTTCTAAAAATATTCACAAAGTAAATATTTCAGTTCATTTGCTTTGTAGTAGTTGATTGACTGATTGCCTGGAAACCTGGTATAATTTCCAGTTCAATAGATTTGTAAGGGCATCTTGCATTGGCTGATAAAAACAAGATCAGTTCATTTTGAGTGAAATCTGTTGGTGTGGCATGCAAAACTTTTAGTGGGATAAACAATGTTATTAAAAAAATGTTTTGTGTTTCTTATCAAGGTTAATTGGACAGACCATGTCAAAATGTTTTAATTTAAAAATATGTTAAACATGAAAATGTTTTGATTAATACTGTAATACAGCTGACATGAAATTGACATTATATAATAAATATACTCAAGTGGAGTACCTGACATTTAGGCCATTCCAAGTTTTTCTATGTTTAGGGTCCACGGGCTGATTGGTTTTGAGCTTATGAAATTAAAAACAAACACAAATTAAAATGGACAAATACAGTTAATGCAATTTATGCTTCTGGGATCGGCATCTTTCTTTTTTAGCTCACCTGAGCTGAAAGCTAAAGTGAGCTTTTCTGATCACCTGTTGTCCATCTTCCCTCCATCTGTCTGTCCGTCTGTAAACGTTTCACATTTTCAACTTCTTCTCAAGAACTCTGAGCCAATTTTAACCAAAGTTAATACAAAACATCCTTGGGTTAAGGGGAGTTTAAATTGTTAAAATGAAGGGCCAACCCCTTACAAGGGGAGATAATCAAGAAAAGACAAAAATAGGGTGAGGTCATTAAAAAAATCTTCTTCTCAAGAACCACTGGGCCAGAAAAGCTGAAACTTATATGGAAGCATCCTGGGATAGTGTAGATTTTAAATTGTTCAAATCATGACCCCCGGGCATAGGGCGTGGCTACAATGGGGAATCCAATTTTTACATTGAAATATATAAGAAAAATCTTTTAAAATCTTCTCCTCAAAAACCACTGGGCCAGAAAAGCTGAAACTTATGTGAAGCATCCTGGGGTAGTGTAAAATCTAAATTGTTCAAATCATGACCCCGGGGGGTAAGGCTGGGCCACAGTAGGGAATCCCAATTTTTACATTGAAATATATAGGAAAATTCTTTAAAAATCTTCTCCTCAAAAAAAAAAGGGCCAGAAAAGCTGAAACTTATGTGGAAGCATTCTGTGGTAGTGTCAAATCTAAATTGTTCAAATTATGACCCCTGGGGGTAGGGTGGGGTCATGATAGAGAATCCAATTTTTACATTGAAATATATAGGAAAATTCTTTAAAAATCTTCTCCTCCAGAACCAAAGGGCCAGAAAAACTGAAACTTATGTGGAAGCATTCTGGGGTAGTATAGAATCTAAACTGTTCAAATCCTGACCCCCGAGGCTAGAGCGGGGCCACAATAGGGAATCCTACTTTTACATTGAAATATATAGGAAATTTTTTTTTTTAGCTCACCTGAGCCGAAGGCTCAAGTGAGCTTTTCTGATCACATTTTGTCCGTCGTCCGTCTGTCCATCTGTCTGTCCGTCTGTCTGTCTGTCTGTCTGTCTGTCCGTCCATCTGTAAACTTTTCACATTTTTGACTTCTTCTCAAGAACCACTGGGCCAATTTTGACCAAACTTGGTACAAAGAATCCTTGGGTGAAGGGGAATTTAAATTATTAAAATGAAGGGCCAAGTCCCCTCACAAGGGGAGATAATCAAGAGAAGACAAAAATAGGGTGGGGTCATTAAAAAATCTTCTTCTCAAGAACCACAGGGCCAGTAAAGCTGAAACTTATATGGAAGCATCCTGGGGTAGTGTAGATTCTAAATTGTTCAAATCATGACCCCCGGGGGTAGGGCGGGGCCACAATGTGGAATCAATGTTTTACATAGAAATATATAGGAAAAATCTTTAAAAATCTTCTTCTCAAGAACCACTGGGCCAGAAAAGCTGAAACTAATGTGGAAGCATCCTGGGGTAGTGTAGATTCTAAATTTTTAAAATCATGACCCCCGGGGGTAGGGTGGGGCCACAATAGGGAATCCAAATTTTACATTGAAATATATAGAAAAAAATCTTTAAAAATCTTCTCAAGAACCATTGGGCCAGAAAAGCTGAAACTAATGTGGAAGCATCTTGGGGTAGTGTAGATTCTAAATTGTTAAAATCATGACCCGCGGGGGTAGGGCGGGGCCACAATGGGGAATCCAAGTTTTACATAAAAATATATAGGAAACAATCTTTAAAAATCTTCTTCTCAAGAACCACTGGGCCAGAAAAGCTGAAACTAATGTGGAAGCATCTTGGGGTAGTGTAGATTCTAAATTGTTAAAATCATGACCCGCGGGGGTAGGGCGGGGCCACAATAGGGAATCCAAGTTTTACATTGAAATATATAGAAACAATCTTTAAAAATCTTCTTCTCAAGAACCACTGGGCCAGAAAAGCTGAAACTAATGTAGAAGTATCCTGGGGTAGTGTAGATATAAATTGTTAAAAGCATGACCCCCGGGGGTAGGGCGGGGCCACAATAGGGAGTCCAAGTTTTACATTGAAATATATAGAAAAAATCTTAAAAAATCTTCTTCTCAAGAACCACTGGGCCAGAAAAGCTGAAACTAATGTAGAAGTATCCTGGGGTAGTGTAGATTCTAAATTGTTAAAATCATGACCCCTGGGATAGGATGGGACCACAATAGGTGTATTACATGGGGGAAAGTCTGGTGAAGAACAGCAGGGCCAAAGTTACTCAGGTGGGCGTTGTGGCCCATGGGCCTCTTGTTTAATCTTTTTCTCAAGAACCACTGGGCCAGAAAAGCTGAAATTTATGTGGAAGCATTCTGGGGTGGTGTCAAATCTAAATTGTTCAAATGATGACCCCCGGGGGTAGGGCGGGGCAACAATAGGTGTTACAAGGGGGGAATCTGGTGAAGAACAGCAAGGCCAGAGTTACCAGGTGAGTCTTGTTGCCCATGGGCCTTTTAAGTGGTGTACCAAATTTTTTTATTTCAATAAACGAGTAGTTTAACGATGCGAGGAGAATTCTCAAATGATGATGAGAAACTCTAGAATTCTGCTTCAAGTGTTTGGGTTTTTTTAGTCTCCTACCGGTGAAACCGGAGGGGACTATAGGTTTCCTCTGAGTCTGTCCGTCCGTCTGTCTGTCTGTCTGTCCGTCTGTCCCGTCTGTCGCACTTTTTTTCTAAACGCTTGCAGATATTAAGCTGATTTTTGGTATGGGAGTGTATCTTGATGAGTTACAGAACAAGTTTGCATTTCGTTTCGCTTCATTGATTTTTGACGGAATTATGGCATTTTCAATTTTTAGCGGGAACCAGATTACACTAGCCGGTAGGGGACTAGTATTGCTAATGCAATACTCTCAGAATGCTTGTTTCCTTTTGGTTTGTGTTTTTTTTCTGGATAGAAAAATAGGTTTTCGAATTTAGAGTGAACACTAAACAAAGAAAAAACTTGGAATGGCCTTATTTATACATATTACATAGACAGTGTTAAAAAAACATGTATATATAATACATTATAAATAACATACAGTACAGAAAGTTATATAAGTCTAAATGTGTACCAGAAATTTGTAGTATGGTAATAAATTGAAATGTTTTACATGTAACATGACATGAACTGTAAATTTCTAACCACTTTAAAGTACAAATAATTTAGCACTTGAAACAAATCCTGTTTATTCTACTTTTAGGTATTAAAAGAATTCAATAATGGAGGACACACCTCTTACTAAGGATGTGGAATTAACTGTGGCCCTCAGTACAGGGGACAGCCCACCTCCTCCATACAAAAGGAAAAGCACCCCACCAAACCCCCCTGATCAAGAATCATTCTGTATAGATATGTCCGGTAATACTCTGGTCCCCCCAAATGGTCATCTTACCAGTCCAGAATCGTCAAGGAGGAGACATAAAAGTGAGGGAGCAATTCCTGTGGCTTCTCTAAATGGCCAGGCTGGTGGTAACAATCATCTGTCTCCAAACCAGAGGAAAAATTCTGTGTTTGGAAGTCGCAGTACGATTAGTGGAATTAAGTTTGATGATCCTTATGTGGGTAGGTTTACAATTCAACAGGTATGGAGATGATTTCTGTAGAGAATGTAACAATATGCTTGTAGTTGTAGGTATTGAGTGTTCTTCAGATTCCTGAGTGTAAATGATATGTTGTTGAGATGACAGTTAATTCCTATAAGTATCTTTAGTTACAATGCGGTCAGAACAGGGGGTGAAATCCCCCCTTTTTTAAATATGCTTGGCAATATATCATAATGAAACAAGGTAAATTCATTATGCATAGTTAAAAGTAATGCTGCTATAAATTTTGTTTTCCGACTCGGAGGAGAGGTACCCCTCCAAAAACCTTCCCCACACCCCCTTTCCAGAAACATGGCAATGACTTTTAGTTAAGGACATAGGATACTCAAAATATTATGTCACAGAAATCTGTAAAACAGTGTATGTAGGCTTATTTATGGCTAAACTTCAAATATATCACAAAATTTTCCTATCTAACTGCAGCCTTTTTTTTTCTTTTTCTCCAAATCTATTCTTATATATCTATATTGAAATTTAATGCGAAAACATGAAAAAATGAAATCCCCCAAATAAAATATAATTTCACTCTAATTTTTACTATGTAACAAATTCATTTGAACTTAAAAATGACTAAAAACAAGAAGATATTATCAACCTTCACTTTCTCTAGAGTTTGAGTATCCTACGACCTTAACATACAGTTAAAAACTGTTGTCATAAATCTATAGAGTAGATAGATGTAGATTACTTCTAGTTGGCTTGTTAGATATGTATATTAATTGCACAGTAGATATATATATTGGTGTTTTTTCTAATTTACTTTAAGTACAATGTATGATTATGAGTTATTTGATGCACATTTACCTTTTGTTAATTCTTACGTAATGTCTTACTAGAATAGTAATTATTTTACATTTTGGTTTATAACATTAGACACCTATGAATGCACTGGAACTTGCCTAATCAGGTACCCATTGATTTTAACATTATCCCAAATATAAGAAATGATTATGTCCCAAAGCTTGAAGATCAGGGTATTTTACTTTTGGTCTGTCTGTGTCTGTCTGTCCAGTAATTTAAACTGGCCATAACTTCTCAAATTACAGACAGTATGCCAGCTTCTGTCAAAATTATGGCTTCATATCAGATAATATCAGGCTTAAACTCAGAGATTAAAGATTCATAATATGCTACTTATCAAAGGTCACTGAATTTAAAAAAAAGTATTGCTTTAAATGATTTCAGCTGAAGTTTGCTACCAATATTATGTATTGTTCAAGACTTTGATAAACCTTCGGCAACATCCTAATCATACAATATTTTGATAAGACAACATTTTGATTGAACAAAATTTTAATTTCCAACACTTTGATTAGACAATGTTTTCAATAAACAATTTTATTTGTGAAAAATTTTGAATAGACAACATACTGAATTTATAAACTTTGAATAGAAAACACTTTGATAAGAAACACTTGATCAAAAAGTATTTACAGTTGAACTTTGGTATCTCAAACACTGATATCTTGAATACCATGGATATGTCGAATTCATTTTGGAGTCCCAACTGCTTATTCCTTAAGTATTTTACCCTGTTTGTCTCGAATCCTTAGTTATCTCGAAGTAGTTTTGGTGTCCCTTTGAGTTCGAGATAACAAAGTTTGACTGTATTTGATTTGCTAAGACAATACTTTGATGAAATTATTATGAGACAACATTGGGTTATCATGTGACAACTTTGATTTGTAGATTTAGCATTTGATCTGAGAACTGTTTGATTTGACAACACTTTGATAATACACTTTGACTTCACATGATTTTGAATTTAGAAAACCTTGTGATTGTGACAACCAAATGATTAGACAAGTTGCAGTGTTGCTTGTTTTCTTGTGGATTCTGTTATGCATGTTTATGACTTGTTTGTTGATTCAGAAGATGGGAAGTGTAGCGATAGAACAAGCTGGAAGACCACAGACTCTGACGATGGTAAGGACAAACAGGAAAATGATTAAATCAATAGGAACAGCAAAAACTTCCACAAAACACAAATAACTTTGAGGATAGTTTATGGACAGAGAGAAGATTATATTAGCATGTTTTTGAAATGCTAGTTGACTTAGAAATTGGGAAGAAGAATAAAATGCAATACCAATTTACTGACATGGAGCAGAGCAGTGGCAGATTTAGAAAGGGTGGGATAGCAACCCCCCTCCCCCTCCCCCTTTTTGTGACCCAAAATATACATTAATAGGTTTATAAATCAATTTTTTGTTGTTAGATATTTCTTTTATTATAACTAAAGTATAACTTAAATAGTAAAAAAAACTGTTCTAAAAATCTCCTATAACCTTTGAGCTTCTAGGAGCTTTGTCCCTACCAGGGCTTTGCACTGGACCCACTGGAGGCCTCTAGGTGACTCCCAGACCCCCAACCTGTTAGGCCTTCCTATTAAGGCCTCCTGGATCTCCCAACAGAGAGACATGACCAATTCAGTTCATGTAAGGTAAAAGTGATCATGACCTTGACCTCTAAGTGATGTCCTAGATTACAGCCAAATTTAGGTACCATTTTATAGATTTGGGATCTATACTCACAGCACATGCAGTCATTTCTATGGCTTAAAAAATTAAAAGGCATGACGTGCAATTATTATGCAGCTGTGTTGCATCTGAGAAAGCATTTGCATTTGCATCAAAAACAAATTAATACCTTTTTAAAAATAAGCTGCTACTTAAAGATCTATAAAAGAGCTACAGGCGAAGAGAGTGATATATTGAACTGATTGGTGTATATACTATAACACAGCATGCTCTCTCTGTTGTGGTAACACTCAAGAAAGTCATAATACATGTATAATAAATATCAGATTGTTACCATTTTATAACCAGAAAACCTTTGAAGTTTACAGCTTACATCTCTGCAGTATTTTTTGAATGACTTAACTAACTGTTAATGTTTTAATTTTTTTTCTAGATGAGTCGGGTCTAACCCTTATGTACTCAAAGCACGAGGTATGTTCAAAAACCATTATTCCACATGTATTTGATGAGAGCCATTCCTGTATTTCACCACTGCATCTGCCTGACAGATTAACATTTCTCTCAGTGAAGAATTAAAACCAATTGCAATTTAAAAGCCAAGCTATAAATATGTGGATTAAAAGTTGAGTACATTAATTACAAAAGATGCTGCCAAAAAGAAAAGATTGCCTCAGATGAAATAACATTGAAAAAAGAATTTGAAATACTCTAGAGTTTATCTTGGAATGTGTGGAGTTCTCCCCTTTTAGATTGAGAATTTAGTGGCAAGATATAAAAAGACCAAAAACAAACAGATTGAGGGGAAAATTAGTAAATTAATTAGAAACTTCCTACTGAGTTACAAGATGCTCTGTCAATCTTGGATGAATGCAACCACAGAAAACAAATATACATTGTTTTATTGATTAAAATTGTATTCTGAAGGTCACATTCAATTTTGGAGGTAATAGTAAAATTCACAAATATCTGGCTTATCTCATTTTGTAGGTGAACTTCCAAAAATCTGGTCTATTTTTGAATTTAATGTTCTATTCAACACCAGTAGTATTTACATAAATACATCTGGGATAAGATTTATAAACAAGAGAGAGAGAGAAAGAGAGAATGAAATAGTTTATTTTAATAAATGATTTTTTTTGAATCAGAAATTACCAATGAAAGACTTTTCAATGGAAGTCAGAGCTTCAATGGATGTACAGAACTTTTTAAAAAAGACAGTTTTAATCCTTGACCTGAATAAGGTCAGTTTGGATGAAATCATTGATGAAATTCTTCACAAGTTGTTGGACAGCTCTGGCAGTAAACACAGTTTTGACCAGGCTAGATCTGCTCTCTTTACTCATGACTGTGGTAAGTCAGGTCAGATCTGCTCTCTTTACTCATGACTGTGGTAAGTCAGGTCAGATCTGCTCTCTTTACTCATGACTGTGGTAAGTCAGGTCAGATCTGCTCTCTTTATTCATGACTGTGGTACACAAAACCAGATCTACTCTCTTTACTCATGACTGTGGTAAGTCAGGTCAGATCTGCTCTCTTTACTCATGACTGTGGTAAGTAAGGCCAGATCTGCTCTCTTTACTCATGACTGTGGTAAATAAGTCACATCTGCTCTCTTTACTCATGACTGTGGTAAATAAGTCGCATCTGCTCTCTTTACTCATGACTGTGGTAAGTAAGGCCAGATCTGCTCTCTTTACTCATGACTGTGGTAAGTAAGGCCAGATCTGCTCTCTTTACTCATGACTGTGGTAAATAAGTCACATCTGCTCTCTTTACTCATGACTGTGGTAAATAAGTCGCATCTGCTCTCTTTACTCATGACTGTGGTAAATAAGTCGCATCTGCTCTCTTTACTCATGACTGTGGTAAGTAAGGCCAGATCTGCTCTCTTTACTCATGACTGTGGTAAGTAAGGCCAGATCTGCTCTCTTTACTCATGACTGTGGTAAGTAAGGCCAGATCTGCTCTCTTTACTCATGACTGTGGTAAATAAGTCACATCTGCTCTCTTTACTCATGACTGTGGTAAATAAGTCGCATCTGCTCTCTTTACTCATGACTGGTAAGTAAGGTCAGGGTTATGTCTAGGTCACATAATGTGGATCATGAAAGACCAGTGTTATTTTATAAATAAGGGTTTCTTCTTTTTTCTAAAAGTATCTATCGTATATGCAGTGTGTTTGTTTATTTTTCTTGTATTTACTTCGATACCTGTAAACTTGGCACCTGAACAATAAATGGTGTACAAATAATGAACACAGTAACTGAAAACCAAGATCATGATTTTATAATAATTCCTTGCTCATAGTCACATTTTTGAAGGAGATTAGTCTATAATTTCATTTTTTTTTTCTTTTCACCAGTTTGTAACTATCAAGGTCATAAAACTATACTGTCACTCTTAATTATAGATTAATTCTTCCTAACTCTGTTTGATAATGAATTTGATTTTTTAAACGAAAATAATTAAGTTAGAAATGAATATAGATTGCGGGTTATCATCTACAAGAGCTAAGTGTCCTGGTTCTACTTTCTCATCAAAAGACATTACATATCAGACTCTTGGATTGTCATGATGATGGGTAATACATGTATGTAGAAGTTAATTAGTAAAATCTTAAATTGTTGTTGATTTACTAGGGAGTTTATTTATAGTATCATATATAGTATACTATATATATATAGTATATTAAGTGCATATGAGCATACATATTTATAAAATATTAACTCAATCAGATATGCTAAAAAGTGTAAAATCATAATGTTTTGCATCTGAACTGTACTTTTAATAACACCGTTTTCCTTTTAGTTCACCAGCTGAGTAGAACTCTACAGTGTACCAGTGTATCAGAAGGAGGGGGGTTTGATTATGACCAGAATTGGATCTGTGCTTTGTAAGATTTCAAAGATCTCCTATAAATTCTAACCCTATAAATCAAGCCTAGCAGTAAATTACAGTCTTGTAATATAGATATACTGAACAGACTTCAGGGTGATGTTGAAAACCTATAAAGTTAGATGGACATGACAGTTAGAGCTGCTTTTGTAAATAGGTTCTGTTAGGATTATTATTAAAGTGGTAAATGGATTGAGTATAGATAGATGTTTTCATATGTTTATCTATTAATTTTATTTGAAGATCTACTATTATTTTTAACCTATTTTTTTCATCATTTATAATTTTTTTCAAGGTCAGTTATTTTTAGGATCTGTCTTAATTAAAATTGCTTTAAAGTCTTTCTAGAAGAGATAAAATGCTTGTGTCTACAAAGATGATCTATATACTTATCAACCAGTGTTTACATGTGATTTGTTTGGAAGTTTATCCTATTCTTTTAGTACCAGTAGATAATGCAAAATTCACAAGGAGAGAGATAATTGACTTCTTTATCTAATACAAGCATATCATATTACAATGTATACCTGTAATTAAAATGAAAATTGTCTAAACTGCATGGACACTTTTGAAACATTCTGTCTGGAAATTATCTCGAGTAAAGAACATACTATAGAGCAATTAATATTTAAAAAAAATAGTGCCAATTATAAACTAAGAGACTATAAAACATTCAAATAATTTAAATAATTTTATGCAGAAAAAAATGTGTGAATTAATGTTATGCTTATGTAAATGGGCTATGTTCCATCCATTGAAAACTAAAATGATGGTTTATTTTTTTTTTTAGGGCTAGCATCCCCTCCATCCAGTCCAGACATGTGGGGATAGCTCGCCTGCACCACCCAGCAAATCTGGGAACCTCCAGTCAAGAAGTCTACTTCGTAATTGTGGTTCTGACACCTACCAAAGAGGTAAAAGCCAGGTTAAACATTTTATGATACATGGATAAAAGTCACTGCCTAGTGAATGTTTCGTAAAACTCAGGTACATCCAGCAAAACAAAAAGTAGCTAAGTAAATTGAATAACAGCTAAAATGAATTTGTGAACAGTGTCTGTTTCAGAATAAATGATACAAGCCTACAAAGCTTTGAAAAAGTAAAGCTGCCCTTGCTTCCTCTTAATTCTCAAAACTTTAAATGAGTGTCTTAAAATAACAGCCTGATCAAATTCCTTTTTCATTTTTTTAAAGAAAGGAACAAAGAATGAATTGGAGACAGGCAGGACCTTTTCCACCATAATGTCTGATCCTGAATTACGAATGAAGTTGCTGGAAGCCAGAAACGAGACTGAATTCAAACAAATTTTAGAGTCACACACTAATGCACTGGCAGAAAAACAGAAAAACTGGGCCCCAGAGAAGGCAATGTTTTCTTCTGAACACCAAGAACAGGTGAAAAGATTATCAGGTTCTTTTCATTTTAAAAACTTTAAAGTGTTCAGTCTTATAGCAGTAAAATGATACTTAAAATGCTTTTCCTTTTGTATTTGTTTTTAATGTTCAAGTTTTGTCAAATTGGTGGTCAAATATGGACATTATAAGTAATAAATATATATACCATATAAGTAGAATTTTTAGTGAGGATTTAATTTTAGCATTATTAGCGAGGGTGCTGAGATTGCTAAAATTAAATATCACTAAAAATTAATCGCAATTTATTTGTAATAGCTTCTATAGTAAGCATTTTGAAATTGCTAAAATTACTTCTCGCTACCCAATAATAATATCAATTTTTTAGGATAAATCGCTAAATTTCCATCTCGCTAAAATTTCCACTTATACGGTATGAGATCATTGAATGTTTTGTCTGAGGGAAATTTCAAGATGTGAACTAAGTAATCTGAAATCAATATAAAGTACACAAATAAAAGGAACCCGGTTGTATTAAAGGTATATTGCTGACAGGATAGTGATATGTAACCTTCCTTTCATTATATAGACAGGATATGTTATTGTTAGGTTTTTAGCCACTTTTAGCTTTAATGGATTTTTTACCGTAGGGCTGTGCCTTATGACTAGCATTAAGAGAGAATGAGATTTTGGAGAGATTTAGCTTTCATTAGGATGCATTAGGGAGTTGGGGGGTAAATTGTATCTCTTTGAGGCTGGTTCACAGGCCTCAGTACTCTTGTCTAACTACAAACGTCAATTAATTACATTCCTTGACTTACATGAGTATGGGTTCTTGCAAATCAGACATTTAATTTCAAGGTTTAGAGACAGGTTGAATTACTGTTAGTTATTGATGTTTATTTTTTTCCCGCCAGACTTCATTTCGCTGTAGTTTGTTCCGTGGGATCAGAGAAGACCTGAGACGTCGGATCCCTGTGTATATTTCCGATTACAAGGATGGTAGGTATCGACACCCACAATTCTTATACAGGCAGACAACCAGCTAATCCTCTGTTTATACAGGCAATTAATTCAGGATTATACATTCCCATTTCCAACTTATAAAAAATTTCAGCTATGTTGTTTAACATGGTGGAAATGGATTTCTTAATTAATCTTAATGGTTTTGATGTTCATGAAGCCAGACTGACTTTACATAAAATAAATCAAAAAAAAATCTTTGGTGTACATAAAAATAGATTTTCTGTTTTATTTTTATTATGTAGCAGTTTTGGTTTTATTAGTGTAGAACACAAAACTTAAAACTTTTATATGTTGAAAGAAGAAACTGAATATTAGATCTAATATTGCTTCTGATGCATCTCTTACCGTGTATTTAAAGTACAGATTTCATATCAGCACGTGCATCTTGAAAGTGAACAGAGCATGGAATTTAATCTTTGAAAAGAAATAATGCATAAAAAAAACTCAATGTGGAAAGTTTTTAGTGGTTGCTTTTGATGATAATCTCTTAAAGTGGAATCAACTTTAAATTGAAGAAAATTGAAACAATATACACATAAGATTGAACGATATGTATCAATGTCAGCAAAATTTTTTTCAATTTTGATGAAAATATTGATAAGCGAAAAACTGTGTTAATGATAAATTAAGGGAAATATCAGTAGAATTAAAATATAAACTGTCTGCAAGTTTACTGTACTTTGAATTTTCAAATGGTAAAAAATGTGCTATATTTTTCCAAAGAAAGCTAGGTATTTTTTAATAGAAGTTGACAAAAACAATATTGCTATCAGTTTTTAGCTCACCTGAGCCGAAGGCTCGTGAGCTTTTCTGATCACTTTTTGTCCGGCGCCCGTCTGTCTGTCTGTCCGTCTGTCTGTCTGTAAACTTTTAACATTTTTGACTTCTTCTCAAGAACCACTGGGCCAATTTTAACCAAACTTGCCACAAAGTATCCTTGGGTGAAGGGAATTCAAGTTTGTTCAAATGAAGGGCCACGCCCTCTTTCAAGGGGAGATAATAAAGAATTAGTGAAAAATTAATAGCATCTTTTAAAAATCTTCTTCTCAAGAACCACAGGGCCAGGAAAGATGAAACACATGTGGAAGCATCCTCAGGTAGTGTAGATTCAAGTTTTTTCAAATCATGCCCCTGGGGGGTAGGGCGGGGCCACAATGGAGGATCAAAGTTTTACATAGAAATATATAGGAAAAATCTTCTTCTCAAGAAGAGCAAAGCCATGATAAGTCATATTTATATGGAAGCATCCTCAGGTAGTGTAGATTCAAGTTTGTTCAAATCATGACCCCCAGGGGTAGGGCGGGGCCACAATGGAGGATCAAAGTTTTACATAGAAATATATAGGAAAAATCTTTAAAAATCTTCTTCTCAAGAACAGCAAAGCTATGATAAGTCATATTTATATGGAAGCATCCTCAGGTAGTGTAGATTCAAATTTGTTCAAATCATGACCCCAGGGGGTAGGGAGGGGCCACAATGGAGGATCAAAGTTTTACATAGAAATATATAGGAAAAAACCTTTAAAAATCTTCTTCTCAAGAAAAGCAAAGCCATGATGAGTCATATTGATATGGAAGCATCCTCAGGTAGTGTAGATTCAAGTTTGTTCAAATCATGACCCCAGGGGGTAGGGCCACAATGGGGGATCAAAAGTTTTACATAAGAACATATAGAAAAAATATTTCTTCTCAAGAACAGAAAAGCTATGTTTAGTCATATTGATATGGAAGCATCCTCAGGTAGTGTAGATTCAAGTTTGTTCAAACGATGACCCCTGGGATAGGGAGGAGCCACAATGGGGGATCAAAGATTTACAAAGGAACATATGGCTTTGCCCCCCCCCCCCCCCCCCCCCCCCCCCCCCCCCCCGTAATCATTTCAATACTGAACTGATTTGTGCTTTTGCCTAGCCAATGTGCTCAGGTGAGCGATGTGGCCCATGGGCCTCTTGTCAAAATTTTTAAATTCATTGCAAACTCTTTATTTAGATGTATTTAGTCTTGTTATAGCTGGAGAGTCTGACTTAGTAATGGAGTAAAACCAGTGCATGAGGGTAAATTTTGCCTGGAGGGACAAGGAGACTACAGAATCTTACAGCCAGAAAGTTAACTTCTATTTTCAGGAGTGGTTGGTAAGAAGTCCATACAAAAGACCATCTCAACCACACTGTTCCTGTATTTTGCCTGTCTAATGCCCTCCATTGCATTTGGTGTCCTAAATGCCAACAACACAAAAGGTCAACTCAGTAAGTAGAGGGACTTCATCTTTTTAATGTTTTAGACCTCTTAAATTTTTGAGAATGTTGTCCTAAATATAGATATATAATAAAGGTTAGCTCATTAAGTATAGGGGCTTCACCTCTGTCAGTCATCTCTGTGAATGCAACCTTATATTAATATATAATAATTAGGGTCAGCTCAGTAAGTATAGGGGCTTCACCTCTTTACTGTTTGAAAATTTGAGAATGCAGTCTTGTATAGATATAGTGTATATCCTCACATAAATATATGCTTACATTTATGTCAGACTTTTAGCTCACTTGAGCCAAAGGCTCAAGTGAACTTTTCTGATCAAAAGACTGTCTGGTGTCCGACTGTCGTCCAGTGTCTGTCATCTATAAACTGTTCACATTTTCGACTTCCTCTCAAGAACCACTGGGCCAGTTTCAACAAAACCACAGTGTATCCTTGGGTGAAGGGGATTAAAGTTTGTTCACTGGAAGTGCCGTGCCCTATTTCAAGGGGGAGATAATTAAGAATTCATGAAAATTTGGTGGCATTTTTTAAAAATCTTCTCTGAGGAACCACTGAAAAGGTGAAACTTATGTGAAAGCTTCATTACATACATAGATTCAAGTTTGATCATATCAAAACCCCTGGGGTTAGGGAGGGGCCACAAGAGGGGGTCAAAGTTTTACATTGGAATATATAGGAAATGTCTTTAAAAATCTTCTCGAGAACAGCAAAGCCATGATTAGTCATATCATAATAAAAGTATCCTCAGGTAGTGTAGATTCAAGTTTGTTAAAATTTTGATCCCTGGGGGTAGGGCAGGGCCAAAACAATGGGTCAAAGTTTTACATAGGAATACATAAGTGTTATGGTTAAGAGGTACATGTATTTGAGTTAAACACATTGAAGACCCCAAATATGGGAATGACCTGAAAACTCTTGGAATGGACTAGCCAAACCAAAGGGTATATATTAAAGGCAAAGCTTTGGGAAAGTCAGGCTTTTAAAAGCTAGCAGAAGTTGGATGTTGAATCAGCAATAAAGGTTATGGGAAAGAGCAAAATAAAAGTTTAAAAGTCTAATATAAACACCAGTGGCAAGTATCTTAGGGAATTGATGTTAAATTCTGGGTGTAGTAAATCTGAAGAAGATTGAGACACCCAGTTCTTATCCATCATTGGGAACTCAGGGGAGAAACTCGGTGCAAGAAGTACCTTACCCAGTCCCTGTCTCTAGATAAGAGAAAATTTAAGTACTGTGTGATTTACCCTCAGAAAGAGCTGTCTTTAAATAATCATTCCAATCATTAACTCAGACAAAGTAAAAGGAAAACCTATATATCCCATGTAAGAACCTGATCATACATGTTACATGTACATAGGAAATATCTTTAAAATCTTCTTCTCAAGAACAACTAAGCCATTATTGGTCATATTTATACAGAAGCAACCTAATAGGTATTGTAGAAGCAAGTTTGTTCAAATTATGACCCCCTAGGGGTTGGGGGGCACAAAAGAGTGTCAAAGTTTTGCATAAGAATAATAGGAAAAAATCTTCTGCTCAAGAACAGCAAAGCCATGATTAGTCATATTATTAAAGAAGCATCCTCAGGTAGAGTAGATTCAAATTTGTTAAAATTTAGGGTGGGTAGGGTGGGGCCACAATGAGCGCTCAGAGTTTTACATAGGAAAAAAGTCTTTAAAATTCTTCTGTTTAAGAACAGCAAAGCCATGATTAGTAATATTGATATGGTAGCATGCTGAGGTAGTGTAAATTTAAGTCATCATTCCCCCCCCCCCCCCCCCCCCGCCCCGTTCAATACTGAACTGATTTCTGCTTCTTCCTAGCCAATGTGCTCAGGTGAGCCTATGGGCCTCTTATCCTTGTTCAGTTTTGGTCTCTAAGTCCGACTTATATGTGAATCCTAGAAACTGATATCTTTCTTGAGGATGACAGAATTTTCATAGCAACTCTGATGATAATTGTTAACAAAAGTTAGAAATATTCTTAAGATTCTTGAATGCTGGAAAACAACATCTAAGGTTTCCATAAATATAAGAACTTTTAGATTTAAATGATTTCTATTTGCTTAAAATGTATATTGTTTGTTGTGTATATATTTATATAACTATCAATTTTATCCCCAAGAACATACATTGATACATAGGTATATACAATAAATTATTGACCTGAAATTAGTGACTGTTTATAGCTAAAAATCTTACCAATTTATTAGCAGGTCAAAGGCAGATTCCTTTAAAATATTCTGAAAAAAGTTGTATACAAGTATATGGTGATAAGGATCAGCTTTATAAGTATAGGAACCTCGCCTCTTTGTCAGTCACCTCTTTCTATTTGAGAATGCAGCCCTATATATAAGTATGTAATTTTAGGGTCAGCTCTATAAGTTAACCACTCTGTCAGCCATAACTTTACAGAATGCAGCCCTGTATAAATTATAATAAAGATCAGCTCAGTATACAGTCTTCACCTCTTTGTCAGTGATCACTGTACTATTTCTAAATACAGCCCTATATAAATAAAAAATGTTGAATCATTGTTGTTATTGGGGGACCAATATTTGTGGCTCACCCTTACCCACAAATTTACATCCCCACAAATGACAACTTTGCCCACCTATTGGTTCATTGAATCTTCTGTATACAGTTGAGCCTCATATTCATGACTGTATGCCGACATGGTAATTGTACCGGTAAATAAAGTGAATTGAATTGAATTGAATTAATCTGGACACCATTGTTCCCTAGCTTATTGTCCAGATTAATGAAGGATCCAGATTACTGAAGCATACTCGGTATCTAAAAATATAAATTGTTCCCCCCAATTTTCGCCCAGAAGTTGAAGTGTCCAGATTATTGGCAACTGGATGAACGAGGCTCTTCTGTATCACTGTGTATACACAAGATCCACAAAATTTCATAGATATAAAAATTTTGTTTTTGCTTGTGAACAGTGACTTCCACGAATTAAAAAGATTTCACAATAGTATAGATGACTCAGTTATCATAGAGGTTTCACCTCTTTGTCAGTCACCTTTCTAATTAATGTTTGTGAAAGCAGCCATTTATATATAGCTCAGTTAGTGTAGGGATGTCAACCCTATGTCAGTCACCTCTCTATAATGTTTGAGTCACTTTGAGAATGCAGCCCTGTATAAATATACTGAAACGCAAAAGAAAAGCAACAAGCAGTAATCTACAAATATTTGAATTTTTTATCTAATGATTTTCAAAAATGAATACACTTAGGTAAAACTTGATTTGAAAAATCAAAGATTTGATAAAAATGTTAAATGATTATCTTTTAACTTTTAGAAAGTAACATATGACTGTTAAAACACCCCCCATCCCAGCCATTCAATTACAGCGTGCAAGTCTGTCATGCACAACAATTGCAGCTTGATTTCAACGATGTAGTAGGTTCATCAATCTCGAGATCTAAGCGAAAGAAATATTCTTTACCATTTTTAAAAGCCTGTTTTTCAGATGATGAGGTCGAATTTTCTCTAGCCAAGCGCAGTGTAGTAACCCTTGGACTTCCGGTCCAAAGACTGTCATTCATGCTAATGATAACGCAAGAGACTGTTGAGGCCTGATGTAAGTCATATTTGCATCTGCAACTCTCCATCACCTTTATTTTGAGATTTTCCAGCTAGAGCAATGGAAATGCCTACTTAAGTCATTTTCAGGAAGCCTTGGCATCGCTTACAGAAAAGATAGGGGAATTTATTTTTCGGAACTTTGCTGATTTACTTATGATAAGCAGATACAATACCTTAAAAGCCCATATTATTGCCAAATATTTTGTTAAACATGCAATTTCTGATATTTGTTAAGCAGACTTAAACTTAACTTCCGGTAATGGTATGAAAATCATTCAACCGTTAAATTACCGATATTTACAAAATTGAAGAATTCCTTACTTTTTAGATACAAAATTATATCCTATATGTAATATTTCCCCCTAAAATGTGATGTTGCGTATCTTTTGCGTTTCAGTATATAAAGCGGTCAGCTCAGCAAATGTAGAGATGTCACCTCTTTGTCAATCATCTCTACACTGTTTGTCAAAACAGCTATATATAAATATCTGAGTGGATTCATCGAATATTGTCTTTAGTTACAGTATTCATCTGTGGATTAATACTTCAAGTTTGTTTATTAAATATGAACACTTCTTTGCTGCAGCTGTGACTGACACTGTGTTACACATTATAAGCTCCCTGAAGGATTAAGAAAGCACCTGATGATTGTATTAATTAATAAATACATCTTGTTTATAAGTAAGGAACAGATGCAGTCCTCGAGAAGGAGTTCAAAGAGTCCACACAAATGTTCATATTTTATTATTATAGTTCTTGTCAAAGAAAGTCAAAACTCAAGCTGAATTTGAAAAAAGCAATAATTCTTCTTTTTTGACAGGTGTTGAGAAAGTTCTGTATTCACAGATGTTTGGAGGCTTGGTGTTTGCGTTCTTTGGTGGAACTCCCCATATTGTATTATTGACAACGGCACCACTAGCCTTGTACACTAAAAGTAAGTCTAGATCTGTAACCCCCTCTCCTCAACAAAATACAAGATTGAAAATGGTCATGCAAGACATGAAGTGTTGAATTAAAGTGAGAATATTATACACAAGTCCACATTGAACTGAAGACCCCAATATCAATATTAGAACCAAATGTCAAAAGACTGTCTAGGTTTGCATTGAAAAAGAACAGAAGTAAGGTTGTAGGTGGAAAATCTCAAGAAAAGGGAAGAAAAGTGCAACAGGAATTACATGGGTAATCGGGTACATCTATCTGGTAGTTCATTGGTAGAGCACTCACATGGTTAGTGGGAGACAAACAAGTTGATGAAACAAGAAGATCAACAGTCTCATTTAAAGAAAATAGGTTCTGAGTTTGAGTCCCAGTCTGGGTAACACTTTCTGTAAATCGCTGTTGTCATTGTAAACTTTTCACATCTTCATCTTCTCCAGAACCAATGGGCCAATTTCAATCAAACTTGGCACAAAGTATCTATAGGTAAAGAGGATTTAAGTTTGTTCAAATGAAAGGTCGTACCCTCTTCCAAGGGGAGATAATTAAGAAATAGGGAAAATTGGGTGTTTTAATTTTTAAAATCTTCTTAAGAACTACTGTGCGAGAAAAGATAAAACTTTTGTGAAAGCTTTGTGGGGTAGTGTAGACTCAAGATTCTTCAAATCATGATCCCTGGGGGTAAGATGGGGCCACTTAGGGTAATCAAAGTTTTACAAAGGAATATTTAGGAAAAATCTTTAAAATTCTTCTTTTAAGATCAGAAAGGTCATGATTAGCTATATTTATATGAAAGCATCCTCATTGAATGTAGATTCAAGTTTTTTCCAAATCATGACCTCCTGGGGTAGGGTGGGGCCATTATGGGCAATCAGAGTTTTTCAGTGGAATACATAGGAAAAATCTTTTAAAGTCTTCTATTTCAGAACAGCAAAGTCATGATTATTCATATATGTATAGAAGCATCTTAAGATTCTAGTTTGTTCAATCATGACACCTACAGGTAGGGTGAGGCTGGGTTTAGGGCGGGGCCACAATATATTATCTTTACATGGGAATATATATGGAAAAAATCTGCCGATAAAGAACAGAAGAGCCATAGTTAATCGAGTGAGCTTTATGGTCCATGGTCCTCTTGTTTTCACCAGTTACAGGTGGAGCCAAAGTTGTCATATTAGCCTGAGAAACTTGTGATACTCAGGTGACTTTTTCACTTGTTCTTTATCATAGTTAACCCCCCCCCCCCAACCCGCCTATTTTTTTTTAAGAATACAATGTTTGGGTTTAAACAGTCTTGAGTTTGTTTTCAGTTATATTCAGCATTTGTGAGGACTTTGATATCGACTTCCCCGCTATGTATGCTTGTGTGGGCCTGTGGAATAGTCTGTTCCTCTTCCTATATTCAGCGTTTGATCTCAGCGTACTGATGAAATGGTCGACCAGGTCAGTTCACCAGATATAATTAATTAGCAATAATCATTGTTATCTTGTAGATTTTTTCTTGAAAATTTTAGACCCTGATTTTGAATCGAAGGATAACAATTACTAGCTTGCTTGCTTAAATTATAGGGAAAGACAAACATTCTGCCTTTTAAATAGTGATCTGGCTGATATCAATGATAATGCCTGAAATAAGACACGGTATATTACATGACAAAACAGTCTGATGATAAAAGGAGGAAATCTCACTAAAGATGACAAATAACAATTAATTCACTCAAAACAACCATGAATGTATATTGATTATATGCCACTGTAAGACTTTGTTTAGTATATAAATTTATTATTCTACCACTATGACATCATCTGGTAAAGTTAAGTTAACCTTCAAAATGACTACAGTGTGGACATGACAATGATTTGCTTATTAAACTGTGCTGCATATAAGTTTGTTGCAGCTGTACCTTACTTTTTTGAATGGATGTACCATCTAATTAGTTGCCAGGTATCTGATATTGAGTGCAGACATCTCCAACAGTAATTAAAAAAAAATTTGAGACAAAAATTGGGGAAGTACATCAAGCAAAATGTATGTGTAAATAAACATTTTAATACTCCAACATCTTGAAGGATCCCCTTAACTAGTTCAATTCATGAAAACAGGCTCTGTTGTAAATCAAATTAAGATCTAGTGCATAACTTAATAATGAAAGGTTTCTCTTCTATCTGAATGCATATGGGCCAACAATAAAAAGTGATTTGTTTGATGTCGACGACTGACCCATCAAAATGCTCCTACTGATCCTTTTTTTCAGTATTTAAAATTCTTTTTATTTTTTGTTTCTAGGAAAACATATAATTTTCAAAGTTAAGGTTTATCTTTTCTCTCAGACGCTTTTTAAATTGAAAGTTTTTTAAGGCAATAAATATTAAATCTGTCTACCAGTAGTGTCCGATGTATTATGAAAACAACAATAAATTGCTTAGTCTGTAATATTTATAATGTTTATCAATGTGTTAGATGATTTAAAAAAAAAAAAAACCTACCTACTTACCTACTTTGTGGGTTAGAGTACATCAAACAACAAAATTTTTAATGATAGCCTTATTAGAGTGATTGAAATAAAACATAATTGATTCTTTGATAGTTTTACTGTAAATATTTGTACATTAATGATGAACAGAGGACATCTTTCATCTGCTCACAAACTGATAAAAAGAAAATAAATAGAACTTATCTTGATCATGTTTCTTTTCAAAAGGCATGGAGAAGAATTATTGAAAGGATATCTTGATTTGTTGATTTTTGTGTTCCAGATCATCAGAAGAGATCTTTGCTGTTTTTATATCTATTGCATTCTGTGTTGATGCTTTCAAGGATGCTGTGAGCAGTAAGCACATTTAAAATATTTTTTATTTTTGATTGAAATATTTCTTTCACCTTATCCTTGAATTAGGGTTTAAATTTGAAAGTGATGCAGTGTTGAGAGATTTTAGAACACATCTGCCTGATAATGATAGAGAGAATCTTGTTATTGCGGTTTATCTTTATCATGAAAAGATATTTTCTGCTGGCAATATATATGCAGTTGAACTTCTGTATCTTGATCACCGATATCTCAAATACCATGGATATGTAGAAGTGAATTGGATAACTCAACTAATTCCTCCATGTATTTTAACCTCATTTTCTTGAATCCTGGGATTTTCTTGGTCCCATTGAGTTAGAGATAATGAGGTTTGACTGTTTTTTACATATTTGATAATCTCAGTTGCTGTCAGCTGTCATCAGGTTTGATTCAACAGTAAAACCAAATTAAACAAACTTGTACAAACATGCACTCAGATACATGTTATATGGTAAAACTCAAAATGAAAAAATGCAATTATTTAGGATTTGAAAGGAAATGTTATATACTGTCTTAAGTGCTTGGATGTAGTGAAGTTTACTTTATGATATGTGTATAAATATTTGTTAATTCACCATTTGGCTTTTCACATGAAAACAGGCTTTAGCCAATTTTTTTTAATTGATATTTTTAGGAAGGAGCAAGGGTGGGGGGGGGGGGGGGTGTTACTTTATTTTTGGACCTTATGTTCATATGTTCATATACAGTCAAACCTCATCATCTCGAACTCGATGGAACCCAGAAAACTTATATATCTGATAACTCATTACTTCAGATATCAGATGATTTGAGATATAGAGGTTAAAAAACATAACCAAAAAGCAGTTTCGAGTTTACATTCACTTAGACATATCTATGGTATTAAAGATATGGAAGTTAAAGATAATGAAGATCAACTGTACATACACATCACATATATATTCACAACCCTCCTTTTCCTGTAGACTTTGGAGCCCATTACAACATTCCAGCTTGCTCCTTGGTCACCTCCTCAGAGAGTTCCACAGTGAATTATTCAGTAGCATCGAATGTAACGAACATGATCACATCTGTGGTGAACAGTACAGCTTCTCGAGATGTCTGTGAACGAGACGTCAGCTTGCTATACTTACTGTTATTGCTGGGGACACTCTGGCTCGGTGTCACCTTATATAACTTTACTATGACGTAAGTGATTTTACATCTTTGAGCGAAAATACCAGGTTAATAGCTCACAGTGTAATCAACATTGGAAGGAATGAGAATAATTGATATACAAATGTTCTTGTAGCATCTTAAATTTTTACCACATTTTGGCATTTATATAACTTCCATCATATCATAAATGTGTATGAAGGATAAAAAAAAATTGCCAAATTATTTCAAGAGTAAAGTCATTTAAAACTTTATGCATTCATATCTGTCTTTTTGCTGAAATGCAGAGCTACAAGGAATTTTTTTTTAACTATTTCTACTATGCTTGATGTATGTTTATTGAAATGGTCTGTGAAAAAGTTTCAAATAACATAACAGACATATAGAAAATTTGCATGTGGCAATTTCAGGAGCAGATGAATTTTTAAGGGTACACTGTTGAGTGTCATGTATGATAACAATTTGAAGATCTTTATTTCCATTAAGAACATTGTTTGATTTCAGTCCTTATTTGAATGCTGGGAAGAGGGAATTGTTAGCTGACTATTCCCTCCCAGTGGCAGTTATCATTATGAGCTTCTTTGGATCCTATGTGTTCAGGGATGTAACATGTGAGTAACATTTTCAGGCAGTTATACAGATTTACACACCTTTGACAGATAACCTAGTTGGTAGGGCACCTGACTTAGAGTTCAGGGTGCCAGGGTTTGAATCCTGATATGGTCTGTAGCATTTACTACCTTCCTATCAATGACAGGCTTGAGCCTGGTTTGCAGTTGGTTTTTCAGGAGGCAAAGGCATGTTTTAAAAGGGAAGGGATTTTATAGTCAGGCAGATTTGTTTGCTTTGGCAGATACTGTTGCTATGACAGTAAAGCACCTGTCTAAGAGTTTTTCATGCCCTAGTTTGGTCTGGTCACATTTCATTACTGTATAAGGGGAAATTTTTGCCCCCATTTTATTTTCACCCCTTTCACCTAGTCACAGGTGGGCGAATTTAAAACGGGCCTAATTCAGAGAAAACAATATAAATTCTTAAACAGAAGCGTGACTGGGCGAATTTAAAATGGGGCAAAATTGTTTGCAAGTGTAAAATGGCAAAAATAACACGGGGTGAAAATAACCCTGTATACAGTAAATTCTTCTTTGTTCATCTCATATATGTACAGGGGATATAACTTATTACTTTCACATATAATGAGGAATGTTCACATTTTTCATTCCTTTCCAAAGCTCTAGCTGAGTACTTTTAACTACTTATTTTTCAGTGGACAGTAGTTTTATTCCGGGTGAATTATCACTGGATGTTTTTAAACTGGTTCCCATTTATAAGCTGTCAGTTGGGGCAGTGTTTGGTGCCATGGGACTGGGCTTCTGCTTGTCACTCCTGTTCTTCATGGATCAAAACATCTCCGCAGCGCTTGTCAATGCTCCACAAAACAAGTAAGTATGTGTCTACAGCACTTGTCAATGCTCCACAAAACAAGTAAGTATGTGTCTACAGCACTTGTCAATGCTCCTCAAATCAAGTACGGTAAGTGTGCGTCTACAGCACTTGTCAATGCTCCACAAATCAAGTAAGTATGTGCCTGCAGCACTTGTCAATGCTCCACAATACAAGTAAGTGTAAAATTTGGGTTATATCAGGCAACAACCTGCCATATTGAAATTGGATAAGGTGAACAGTAACATACAGTCATTTGTATTAAAAAAATGTGAAGAAGATATCAATACAGTTAACGACACTCTGATTTTGGTTTTTTAGGTTAAAAAAGGGTACATCTTACCATTGGGATCTCCTTGTTTGTGGTGTAATCAATGCCTTTCTGAGCATGCTGGCCTTTCCACTGGTCCATGCAGCACTGCCTCACTCCCCTCTCCATGTCAGGGCTCTAGCTGATGTGGAGGAGAGAGTGGACCAAGGTCACATATACCAAATGTAAGATTTCAAACAATATTTCAGCAGTGCTTAACAAATAAAAAGTTTATGATTCATGTGTTTTTACAATCACAATAAGAAAGATTTGTTTTTCTGTGTTTTATCAATTAATTTTCATTATTTTCAGAATTGTGAGAGTACGCGAGACTCGACTTACAGCAATCTTTTCCCATATCCTAATTGGGCTATCCCTATTTATCCTGAACTTCCTAGCTTATATTCCTACCCCTGTGCTGTATGGTCTATTTCTGTATGTTGGTGTCACAGCATTGTATGGTAACCAGTTGTTTGAACGAATCATGCTGCTTATAACTGAACAGGTATTTCAATTAGTTCAATTGGTTTATCACCCCCCCCCCCCCTACACTTCCTGTATTATAGGGTATATAGGAATCACTTCATCTGTCTATCTATTTAGAACACTTCACTTTATAATAGAAAAACACTGGAAGCTCATTCTTGGTACAAAGAATTTTCATGACCCAAAGGTGTGTCAACACCTTGAACCAAGGTCATTCTGGGAAGTTCAAGGTCACTGGCAGAAAAAGTATAAAATTTGTGTCCAATTCATAACTCTCTTGTGGATGAGTGTTGGAAGTTGATGTTTCAAACAAAGATTACTTGCAGCTGAGGATAATCTTGACCAAGGTCATTCTGACAAGTTCAAGGTCACTGGCTCATGTCAATTTCATAACTTTCTAATTGAGAAACATCATACAGCTTACACCACTTGTATTGAACTTACTTTTGATTCATTGCTAGTATTGAACTCAAAGTAAGGGAAATCCCCAACCAGATTCTTACTATTTTTTTTATTTAAAATCTTGGTTGCTTGTAATGAATTATCTCTTGTATTGAAGCAATTTTTTGGTCAGTTGAACTGATAATGTATTGTTTTAATAATGGTTGTAAACAAAAAAAAATCCTATTTTATATAAAGTAGAGAGAAAAAAAATAATAAATACATGTGCTTATAAAAAACAAATGTTTATTTTATAACACACTTGAACAGGTTTGTGTAGTGCAGTGTGTGTCCTTTATTCATCACAGCTTTTTTCTTCTGATGTATTGAACATTTTTCTACTGTCTCCAGAAATTCAGTGTATCAAAAGTAGGCTGTATGTTCATATTTCACTCAAAGATTACTTAATAGCAGAGCATATCTCTCTTTTTTAACCAAGGTCATTTTGGCAAGTTCAAGGTTATATTTAGGAAATTGATATGAGCACTTTTAGCTAACCACTGGACCAATTTCAACCAAATTTACTATAAAACATCCTTGGGTGAAAGGGATACAATTTTGGTAAAATAAAGGGTCATGTCTTCTTCAAAGGGGAGATAATCAAAAGAGAAGGAAAAAATATGTGAGATAATCAAGAATAACCACTTATCTATCTCTGATTATAAAGTGTCCACCCCAGCCACTACATTTGTTATTACATTACGTTGTATTCTCACTATATGTGTTATTACAGAGTGCTTATCCCCCAAATCACTACATAAGACGTGTCCCCCAGAGGAAGATTCATCTCTTCACCGTTCTACAACTTCTACAGCTGGTGGTGCTGTGTGCATTTGGGTTCACTCCCTATCCTTATCTCAAAATGTTCTTCCCAGTTCTCATTTTTACTCTCATCCCACTCAGGTAAGACTTCAGAAATACAGGTCAATACATCATCCCACTCAGGTAAGACTTCAGAAATACAGGTCAATACATCATCCCACTCAGGTAAGACTTCAGAAATACAGGTCAATACATCATTCCACTCAGGTAAAACTACAGAAATATGGGTCAGAATATCATCTCACTCAGGTAAGACTACAGAAATACAGGTCAATACATCACCCAACTCATGTAAGGCTACAGAAATACAGGTCAATAAAACAGAAAAAAACAGAAAAACAGGTTAAAATATCATCCCACTCAGATTGAGCTACAGAAATACAGATCAATACATCACCCCACTCAGGTAAGGCTACAGAAAAACGGGTCAAAATATCATCCCACTCAGGTAAGACTACAGAAATACAGGTCAATATATCACCCCACTCAGGTAAGGCTACAGAAATATAGGTCAAATATAATCCCACTCAGGTAAGGCTACAGAAATACAGGTCAATACATCACCCCCCTCATGTAAGGCTACAGAAATGCAGGTCAATACATCACCTCACTCATGTAAGGCTACAGAAATGTAGGTCAATACATCACCCCACTCAGGTAAGACTACAGAAATACAGGTCAATACATCATCCCACTCATGTAAGGCTACAGAAATACAGGTCAATATATCATCCCACTCAGGTAAGGCTACAGATAAACAGATCAAAATATCATCCCACTCATGTGAGGCTACAGAAATACAGGTCAAAATATCATCCCACTCGGGTAAGGCTACAGAAATACAGGTCACTACATCATCCCACTCAGGTATGGCTACAAAAATACAGGTCTTTGTTTTTGCTGTCATGAACAAATTACTTTAATTACAACTGCTTTTTAAATGGTGACTTAAAATTGCAAATATGAATTTATTGCTAACTTGGGCAGTTTGCGTGGAAAAGCAGTATCCGATCTAGATCATTTTTACCTAAAATTAATTGTTTTTTTAAGTTTTTTTATTGCTTTTAAGTTTATAATTGATATATTTTCCTTTGAAAGAACTGTTTGAGGAAATGAAATAATATGTATATCGGAACAAGTTCACATTTTTAACTTCAAAATGATTTTGTTTCAGACATAAAGTAATTCCTCGTCTAATACATCAGAAATTTCTCAAAGCTATCGACGGGCATTAAGGAAAAGTGTTCAGGTGTATCCATCTCCTTCATGCCATTTCATCAAGTCTGTTTGTTACTGCACTCTAACAAATATAGTCCATTCCCATCAATGCGAGTCGAATCATCTGGACTGGTATAAAGTGGTTTGAGAGCAGGAGTTGTCTCCCCCTTTTACTTCTCTTTTACATGTAACTGTGACTAGGAGGAAACTGTTATTGCTATAAATTGTTTATCACAATGTTAAGTACCTAAGAATGCATATCTGTATCAATATTTCTTACAAACAAGTATAATGTAAAAATTTTTGTTAAATTATAGAGTTTGGTTTTTTAGTGTTCATGGTCCACCATCTTGCCCACTTTTAAATTGTTTTTTCTTCTAAGCTCAGCAAACAGTTAGTTTTGTGCATTTACATTAACCTGATGGAGGGTTGAATTTAAGCCAGCTAGTAGACTAGTCATACTGACTATGTATATTGTTTAGCCTATTTTTTTTTAATTAGACACAATTAGCCTAGGTTTTTTTTATTAGACACAATTAGCCTAGGTTTTTTTTAATAGACACAATTAGCCTAGGTTTTTTTTTTTAAAAATTAGATACAGAAGGTTTCAAGACCCTCTATATCTAGCTGCTGTATACATGTATTTTACTATGCTTTAATTTAACAATGAATGAGCACAATTCTCCTTTTCTCTGTATTTTTAAGTTTTGGTGAGTCACATTTGGTCTACCTCCCATATTTTAGATATGACCATGTGCAGTCGTTGAGTACAAGTCTTTCACTAGTATGATAGATCTCGTCTGACAAGCGCTGCACTTTGCAGTGTTCTCCTTAGTAAAATCTTGTTTTTATTGTTATTTTGTTGACCTGGTAATAATTATTCTTGTCTCTAATATATTTTAATATTTCCACACAAATTTATAAATGCACTTTTATTTACATTTAGTCATAATTTAGGTTAACAAGTACAAAAATATAAACAATTTGTGCCATGATGTGATTGTGAAGTATTGAGATTTTTGGGTGTTTGCCTCTATTTAGTCAGTCCCCCTTTATTTTGTTACTGAACTAGTCACAACATGACATCCATTGTCTTTCATTAAAGAAAATTCTGTTGGAGTTGAGTTCTTGGGGTTTTATTGTGTACATATGTTATATATAAGGCACATTTATACATAGAATTTGTATTGTTTATGTGTGTTTGGATTGTTTATTTTGTGTTTTTCAGGAAACTTATATCTTGCAGTGTTCATTGTTTTAAATCATGCAAAGTTGTTTTATTTTGTAATCAACATTTATTACTTAGTTACCAGCTTACAGTTTGAACTTAAAACAAGACTGTACCTGTTGTTATATAGTAAACATATATTTTATTAGTTTTAAAGTTTACAAGTCTGTCATTTTAATGGTTGACTTTTAAATTAAAAAAAAATCTATTAAATTTCTCCTTGTTTTAACATTTGGATTAACTGTTGTTTTGCCTTGGACTAGAATGATGTTCTGTCATTTAATAACGGACGTCATGTGCCCACCGTCAGTATTTTTGTGGTTGGCAAGACCAAGTAGCATAATTTGGACAGCAACCTGGCAGATAAATCGATGCTTCCAGAAAAAAATCCTTCCAGTGTTATTCACACATTTAAAAGAAACCAATAAATTTACATCCTTACTGATTCATCATCGAATACCCACGGGTGATCTCTTCTCTTAGGCATCATGTTGAATAAAAGTTGAGATCATCCGTGGGTATCCAATGATGTTACCGATTTGGCAATACTGCAATTAAATTTAGTACCCCTTTCAGTGAATCAGTAAACAACACGAGAGGTGACTGGCACAGAAAGTCCATGGGGATGTAAATTTGTGGTTATGTATGACCCTGAAAAATCCAAGAATATTGTGGTCCGCTACAAACAATGAGGATTCCACTGTAAATTGTTACAAAATAACAACATTTGTATGGACAAGATGAAGATATTTTATGTCATTAAATTGAATGTAGGTATCTCATTGATTGTTAGCCTCAGCAGATCTGCCTACTCCCCCTATTTACCTGTAATGTTTACAATTTTTGAACCTCTAATTACCCTCTAATATTACACTAATTCTCCAGGGGCCCCTTTCAGCATTTAAATATCTTGTTAAATTCTGTTTAAAAAGATTAAATTCCTTTTTAAATCAATGTAAAAGAGAAAGTAGTCAGCATGATTTAATTTTGGTCTTAGTTGTAGGTTCTTTTGTAAAACGGGCCCCTGATTTTGGAATTTCAACCATTTTTTCGTTTTAAAATTTTGGATAAGAAAAATGAAGCAGTACAAATGTTTGAGTGATAGAAAATCATAGCAGAATTCTCAAGCATCTTTATCACAGGTAGCTGTACAATAGACAGGCATAAATGTCAAGTCCGAAATTGACATGGTAGTTATGGAAATAATTTTGCACCAGTACTTGTGTAGTTGGCCAGTTTGTCACACTGTAAAATCATTTTATGTGAATTCACTTCTACTTTCCAGATTGAAAGTAGAAACCTTTCTGCATAAAAGTTGAATCTTATGGACAAATTGGTAGAAAACTACGGATTGCAATCTTATGAGTTAAGCAGGTCTGCCTTGAGCATATTTACGATTTGAATCATCAGTATTTGGTTTCATTTTATTTCATGATCCTCAGAACTTGGATATACTATGATGTTCATTAATAAAATTAATTAACGTGTATCAACCTCCTTACACGACAAAGTCAGTCTGGTTGACAAGAAGGAGGAACAGTCCATTTTCACAAATGATGTCGGAATGATGATCAAGGATCAAACATTGGAATATTTAAATACAATCCCTTTTTCACCAGTTCTTTTTCACAGTATCATAAATACAATCGGCTATAATTCTGTATTTTGTTGCTTATCTAGAAGATTTTCGTTTTCCCCCTTTTTGTGGAGGCAGATTGAGGGGGAGGGAGAGGGTTGCCCAGCGTTCAATAAGGCCCCCGTCATCTGTGTCAAGTTTCTTAGATTTTGTGGTGCATCCAAGAACCTGGCAGTGCCTCGTCAGTCTGTAAAAGTTATGTATGTCAGTATTAATGACTTCCCTTTTCTAAATATAAAAACTAAAATTGATTAATTTTTTGAATGCAATTTCTTGATATAAATACATGTATATATACATGTATTTTTAAGAGTTGATTTGCTTTGATTTTATAATAATTTAATTCTGGTTTTGATGCAGTATTTGATTGGATAAAAAATTTACTTTATATCGTATAAATTGGGTTCCCTACATCACAATGACTTGCGTCAAAAATGTATCAATGCGTCTGACGTTACATTTAAATTTTGTACAATTTGAAGTCATTTTCTAAGGGCAATCATCTTTTTTCTTACACTAAATGAATGAAAATTAAATCATAAGTAATGAAATTAATATATACCCAATTTATACGGTATAAAGTGAGTTGGAACAGTTTACACTTTTTTATAAATCGCTTCGCTGCAAAAATGTATGTCAGGATTTTCCATTCTTTACCAAAAATATGCTTTGTTATTCTTGTTTTAAAACTACCAATTAAGTTCACATACTGATGTAAATGAGGAAGTAATGCGAATGAAGCAATACGATCAAAATAATAGCTCCTACTTTTCATGTGTTTTGTTTAGGTCTTTCTGAAGGCTTGTTAGATCCATGGAAAATTCTTCCAGGTACAGGCAGAGAACCAATATAGAGGATACCAGTTTATCCTTCAGTCTGGCAGTGAAGACTCTAAAAGGAGACAAAACATTTTTATAAAGAATATAAAGCAAACAAATACACTTAAAATGTATTTCAATGTTTTTTTCTGTATTAATTTTGAATTTTTTTAAAAAATCATGTGCCAAGAAAAAAATGTTTCTTATTATCAGATACCTGAATGTTTAAATCAGAAGAATTGAAATGAGCAAGACTGCAGATATATTTGACATTGGTTATTCATTTAATTAGGTAGAACACCAGCTCAACTGTCAAATTATGATACCTTTGTCTGGCACCGACCCCCTGTGTAAATTTCTTCAGTATGTGAAACCTGACGGGTTCTGGCCACTCTTTAGGAAGGGGGTCTACAATACAGCATCAGAACAAGGCATTTTCAGTTGAAATTCAAAGCAAACATATTTTTGTCCCCCATTTTTCTATAAGTGGGGGATATTAATTTGGGTCTGTCCATCCATCCGTCTAACTATCATTCTCTCTGTCTGTAACATGTTGCTTTCCAGATGATAATCTCTACAACTTCTTTAGTTTTTGCAAGGAAATTTTATGTCATGAATACAAATGACATGAAGAAGATCCCTATTCATTTTGATGTCAAAAGGTCAAATGGCAAGATAAGAAATTCATATACTGCATAAAATAGTTTCCATATGATAACTTTGTTTTCTTCAAGCTTTTAGGTGATGACTCTGTCTTACTTCAGAGAGACACTTATTGATTTTGAGGCTAAAAGATGAAAGGTCAAGGTGAAAAAAAATCATAAATTATGTGGCATGAAATGATTTTCAGAGTTACTCCAATACTGGCTATTAATAAAACATGACTTCTACTGATTCTGAAGTAAAAGGATCAAAAGGATAATTTCATTAGTACTTTCCTTTTTTTTGGAAAAGGCCTCTTTGATAGCCAATATTTTGATGATATGTGGTTGTAAAAGATTTTTGTTGACAGTTTCACTGTACTTTATTAATGAAACCTAAGAGCAAACTAATTTCAGACATTATAATATAAATTTTTCTCACCTTTCTCTCTAAGCTGCTTGTGTTTAAGGTTGTGAAGGTGTATAAGGTAGTACAAGTATGTGATATATATTGCCTGCTCTGTTCGGCGCTCCTCGGACTTTGACATTCTACTTAACAGGGATAGTATTTGTTGTGGATACCTACAACATGTCAAGAATTGTTAGATTTCAATAAGTATTCAAAACTCCTTTTGGAAATTTCGATTTGATTTGAACATATTTTATTATGTAATAAAACAAAATGGATTGTGCAGCAGGCATCGCCTATACAAGCCCTCTCCAAGTCTCCAACTGATTTCATTAAGTTAACCTTAAAACATTGTTATTATAAACTATTAACACAAAATTGCTGACAAATACCTCACTCAATAATACAATCAAATAAATGGCTGTAGACTACTTATTTACCGATTCAGAAGTAGAATATTTCTACTGAATGTGAAGAACCTCACCGACTGATCAATCAAACCCAGCCTTACTTGTTCTCACTGACTGATCAATCAAACCCAGCCTTACTTGTTCTCACTGACTTATCAATCAAACCCAGCCTTATTTGTTCTTACTGACTGATCAATCAAACCCAGCCTTACTTGTTCTCACTGACTGATCAATCAAACCCTGCCTTACTTGTTCTCACTGACTTATCAATCAAACCCAGTCTTACTTATTCTCACTGACTGATCAATCAAACCCAGCCTTACTTGTTCTCACTGACTGATCAATCAAACCCTGGCTTACTTGTTCTCACTGACTGATCAATTAAACCCAGCCTTACTTGTTCTCACTGACTGATCAATCAAACCTAACCTTACTTGTTCTCACTGACTGATCAATCAAACCCTGCCTTACTTATTCTCACTGATTGATCAATAAAAGTCGGTCTTACTTATTCCCACTGACTGATCAATCAAACCCTGGCTTACTTGTTCTCACTGACTGATCAATTAAACCCAGCCTTGCTTGTTCTCACTGACTGATCAATCAAACCCAGCCTTACTTATTCTCACTGACTGATCAATCAAACCCAGCCTTACTTGTTCTCACTGATTGATCAATAAAAGTCGGTCTTACTTATTCCCACTGACTGATCAATTAAATCCAGTATTACTTGTTCTCACTGACTGATCAATCAAATCCAGTCTTACTTATTCTCACTGACTGATCAATCAAACCCTGCCTTATTTATTCTCACTGATTGATCAATAAAAGTCAGTCTTACTTATTCTCACTGACTGATCAATCAAACCCAGCTTTACTTGTTCTCACTGACTGATCAATCAAACCCAGCCTTACTTGTTCTCACTGACTGATCAATCAAACCCAGCTTACTTGTTCTCATTGACTGATCAATCAAACCCAGCCTTGCTTGTTCTCACTGACTGATCAATCAAACCCAGCCTTACTTATTTTCTTTTCTCCACTGCTGGATATCATCTATTGTGGCATCAAAGAAAACCCTGGATGCCTCTTCTGTTGACTGTTTATCATTAGGATGGACAACTACAAGTAAAACATAATGTTTCCAAGTACAACTTGTTTACAAGCCTATAAGAAAGATTTACAGTTGCCTTACCCATTAATTTTCATCACCTCATCTAAAAATTAAATGATCCAAATGTATATTTTTAAACTTTAAAAAACTTTTAAATGTATTTACATGGAAATGAATCAAGTAAAAAATAAACACAATGTCCTTTAAAGAATGTTGTCAGACTAGGACTTACTGTCGTCCATGTTATAGACCTCTCTAGGTGTGGCTGCCTCCTTGTTCATCGGAGGGATAATGGCGTAGTCTGGATTTGTGTCATTGTCTGTGGAGAGATATGAATTTCTTTATGAAAAGTTCTACTGTATGAAAGTTCACTCTCACCAATAATGGATCTTGGTATGTACAACTAAGACTCCTATGTTGGTAAACAACTACAGTAAAATTTCTCTAATCAGTCCATCTCTGGTTCCGTAGAAATTGGCCAGACAAGACAACATCACAGATTAGACAACATTTAAATCAACTGAATTTACTAAAAGGGAATCTTAAAGTTTACATCATAATAGGCAAGATTTTGAAATGCACAACATTAGACAAGTTTTACTGTACAAAGTTTTGGATCAGTTCTGGGATTTTTCTTTCCTCAAATTAGCATACTTACAGAATCATCAGCTAATTTAAGAGTACTAATGCTGAGAAATCGCAAAGTATGTTATGTTGCATAATATGTTAAGTTGCAGAATTTACCTCTAATGGCTATCACATGCAAGATGAAAAAATATACATATAGCCTGTATAAACCCTTTCAGATGTTTAAGCAGAAGTATTACTGATTAATAGAAGTAGTTATATCTGATACCTTCCACTTGTACTGGTTTTAACGTAGAGGCCTGACTAATGACGGAGCTTAGGGCTTTATCTAGCGCTTTCCCCTTGATCTGGTTTTTCAGCCTTGATTCCAATGCTCTCTGCTTCTTTTTGCTTCCAAAGGCACTTGTAAGCATGTCATTCTACAATGGCATGAATTCATATAAAAATCTGTCATCATAAGAGAGTTAACTACAACAAAATAAATTTTCAGTTCTATAATTTTGCATCAAATTTGGTACATTACATTGATTTAATTTTGTTTGTTCATCTCAAAAGATCTAGGAAGCATTATAGTTTTATATAGAAGTATAAGGAAACTGGAAGTTTTGTTTCTGTTTTTCTAATAGCCATTGTTCATGACATCCTCTCAACAAGTAATGCCCAATTTAAAAAGACCAGAAAACATGATGTATTTTCAGGTTATCTACATGTACCTGTTCTTTAAAACTCTTTTCTGAAACTGACGAGGGTAATACAAGTTTCTCTTCATCATCATCAATATCTGAAAAAGACAAGCTAACAATTATGCCCCCATGCATTTTCAAATCAAGAAATACAGAATTTCCAAATACTTACATTTTCTATTCACCTCTTTACTGTAAAACTACACAAAAGACACAATCATTTTTGGCCTACCTGAAGGTTTGGGGTGCATTTGAAAGATTTCTGCATCACATATCCTCATCTTCCCTGTTGTTTTGTCTAAGACACCAACATAATACCTAATAACACATCAATATAATACCTAAAAACACACCAACATAATACCTAATAACACTTCAATATAATACCTAATAACACACCAACATAATACCTAATAACACATCAATATAATACCTATTATTATGCTTCCTGTCAGTTTGTCTCTACATAGTCAATACCCAACTATTTTCGCATAGTGGTCTAAGGATTTATATAGAGTAAGCATACTATGCCGAAATAGAGCACGGCTTCTTTTTCTGAAGAAAATCCGACAGCGCCCACACCAGGGATCGAACTCACGACCCCAAGATTATCAGTCCGACTCGCTACCGATTACGCTACAGACGCCGTTATCTATAACACTGAATTATAATATATATAAACTTAGTTTCAAAGATTTTACACTAAAAGAAAAAAAAATAAACAAAATAATTTTTATAAAATAGTATCTTGCAATTTTTTACCCTTCACACAACTAAATTTCTCAACTATCTGTACATGGAACATTCAAAATATTAAAGACAAAAGATTATGACGTACATGTAGCACAACGTGACGGCATAATAGGGGTGTACTAACATGAATGTAAGAGGTGATGAAACATTGGAAAGGGAGAAAATATTGTCGTTTTTATACAACAGTCAGCATACTAATAACAATAGTGTTGTACTTTGCATGCACTATGCCTAAATAGTAGTCAGGGTTTGACACATAGTGCACTCGCCTCCGGCTCGTGCACCATGTGTCAAACCCTGACTACTATTTAGGCATAGTGCATGCAAAGTACAATACTATTATATAAATAACACATCAACATAATACCTAATAACACATCAATATAATACCTAATAACACACCAACATAATACCTAATAACACACCAAAATAATACCTAATAACATACCAACATAATACCTAATAACACACCAATATAATACTTAATAACACACCAACATAATACTTAATAACACACCAACATAATACTTAATAACACAACAACATAATACTTAATAACACAACAACATAATACCTAATAACACATCAACATAATATCTAATAACACATCAACATAATACCTAATAACACATCAACATAATACTTAATAACACAACAACATAATATTTAATAACACATCAACATAATATCTAATAACACACCAACATAATATCTAATAACACACCAACATAATACTTAATAACACACCAACATAATACCTAATAACACATCAACATAATACCTAATAACACATCAACATAATATCTAATAACACATCAACATAATACCTAATAACACACCAACATAATATCTAATAACACACCAACATAATACCTAATAACACACCAACATAATACCTAATAACACATCAACATAATATCTAATAACATACCAACATAAAATCTAATAACACACCAACATTATACTTAATAACACATCAACATAATACCTAATAAGACATCAACATAATACCTAATAACACATCAACATAATATCTAATAACACATCAACATAATACCTAATAACACACCAAAATAATACCTAATAACACAACAACATAATACTTAATAACACACCAATATAATACCTAATAACACATCAACATAATACCTAATAACACATCAACATAATACCTAATAACACACCAACATAATACCTAATAACACCTCAAAATAATATTTAATAACACACCAACATAATATCTAATAACACACCAACATTATACTTAATAACACACCAACATAATATCTAATAACACACCAACATTATACCTAACAGTTCAAAGTATTGATATTTTATTTTTGAAACAAAAATGAACAGCAACAAAAACAAGAGGTACTGTGAGCACAGACGAACAGACAGATGGACTGACATCACCATCCCTATACACCCCTTGCTTTTCAAGCGGGGGGTATAAATACCAAGTAAAATCACTTTCAATGGAATGACAAAGACTTTCCCCCTAGCATTTAGCACAATTTATTCTTACATTAGATTAATATTAGACATCCTGTTATAATGATTATATGATAAATTCTTAACATTTACAAAAATAAAGCTTCATTGACACCCACTTGCAGTTTCTCTGTACTGTACTGGCTAGAGGACCATAATTCTGTCCTACATATGACATTTCACTGGTCTCTGCAACCTGTGCATTGAAGTAATCCATTTGTTAAACAAGAGGCCCAGGGGCCACATCGCTCACCTGAGCACTCTGGCTAGGAAAAAGCAGAAATCAGTTGAGTCTTGAAAAGTTTTGATATAAAAGTGGTTCGAGGGGGGGGGGGGTTTAATTTGAACTTGAATCTATACCTCAAAGGGATGCTTTTGAATTAATATGACAAATAATGGCTATGCTGTTCTTAGGAAGACAATTTTTATTGATATATCATTTGTATTCCTTTGTATAACTATGATCCCCTGTTATGGCCCCTCTATTCTCCTGGGGGGGGGGGGGGGGGGGGTCATGATTTGAACAAAATTTGAATCTACATTACCTGAGGATGTTTGCATTTAAATATGACTAATTATTGCTTTGCTGTTCTTCAGAAGAAGATTTTAAAAGGCTTGCTTTTTCCTATGTATTCCTATGTAAAACTTTGATCGCCCATTGTGGCCCCACCCTACCCCTGGGGGGTCATGATTTAAACAAACTTGAATCTACACTTCCTGAGGATGCACTCATTAAAAAAAACCGATCATGGCTTTGCTGTTCTTAAGAAAAAGATTTTTACAAATTTTTCCTATGTATTTTATGTAAAACTTTGATCACCCATTGTGGCTCCACCTTACCCCCGGAGGTCATGATTGGAACAAACTTGAACCTGCACTACTTGAGGATGCTTCCATGTAAATATGACCAATCATGGCTTTGTTGTTCTTGTGAAAAAGATTTTTACAGAGTTTTCCTATGTATTCTTATTTAAAATTTGGATCGCCCATTGTGGCTCCACCCTACCCCCGGGGGTCATGATTGGAACAAACTTGAATCTACACTACCTGAGGATGCTTCCATATAAATATAACCATTCATGGCTTTGCTGTTCTTGAGAAGAAGATTTTTAAAGAATTTTCCTATATATTCCTATGTAAAACTTTGATCGCCCATTGTGGCCCCACCCTACCCCCGGGGGTCATGATTTGAACAAACTTGAATCTACACTACCTGAGGATGATTCCATATAAATATGACCAATCATGGCTTTGCTGTTCTTGAGAAGAAGATTTTTAAAGAATTTTCCTATATATTCCTATGTAAAACTTTGATTGCCCATTGTGGCTCCACCCTACCCCCGGGGGTCATGATTTGAACAAACTTGAATCTACACTACCTGAGGATGATTCCATATAAATATGACCAATCATGGCTTTGCTGTTCTTGAGAAGAAGATTTTTAAAGAATTTTCCTATATATTCCTATGTAAAACTTTGATCGCCCATTGTGGCCCCACCCTACCCCCGGGAGTCATGATTTGAACAAACTTGAATCTACACTACCTGAGGATGCTTCCATGTAAGTTTCATATTTTCAAGCACAGTGGTTCTTGAGAAGAAGATTTTTAAATGATGCCATTAATTTTTCATGAATTCATGATTATCTCCCCTTGGAAGAAGGCATGGCCCTTCATTTGAAAAAACTTGAACCCCCTTCACCCAAGGATACTCTGTGCCAAGTTTGGTTGAAATTGGCCCAGGAGTTCTGGAGAAGAAGATGAAATTGTGAAAAGTTTACAACGACAACAACGACAACGCCGACAACGACGACGACGGACAACGGACAAATTTTGATCAGAAAAGCTCACATGAGCCTTCGGCTCAGGTGAGCTAAAAAAAGGTTAAGAAGACTTGGTTAGAGTCTCTGTAAGATAAGCCAATATATTACCATGAAATTCTGTGACCAGTTTACATTAAATTAAAAAAAAGAGCAATGGGATATAGAGCTTAGCCTAGAAACCTGTCCTTTGCAAAACAGGAGGTACATATATGTACCATTCACAAGGTGTTCCTAGTTATATTAAGCGTGTACATGTCATAATCATGATAACATTTAGTGTAAACATGTGTCATAATCATGATTACATTTAGTGTGTACATGTGGCATAATCATGATTACATTTAGTGTGTACATGTGGCATAATCATGATTACATTTATAGTGTATGTGTCATAATCATGATTACATTTAGTGTGTACATGTGGCATAATCATGATTACATTTAGTGTGTACATGTCATAATCATGGTTACATTTAGTGTGTACATGTGGCATAATCATGATTACATTTAGTGTGTACATGTGTCACAATCATGATTACATTTAGTGTGTACATGTGTCACAATCATGATAACATTTAGTGTGTACATGTCATAATCATGATTACATTTAGTGTGTACATGTGTCATAATCATAATTACATTTAGTGTGTACATGTGTCATAATCATGATTACATTTAGTGTGTACATGTCATAATCATGATTACATTTAGTGTGTACATGTGGAATAATTAAGATTACATTTAGTGTATACATGTGGCATAATCATGATTACATTTAGTGTGTACATGTGGAATAATTAAGATTACATTTAGTGTGTACATGTGGCATAATCATGATTACATTTATAGTGTATGTGTCATAATCATGATTACATTTAGTGTGTACATGTGGCATAATCATGATTACTTTTAGTGTGTACATGTCATAATCATGGTTACATTTAGTGTATACATGTGGCATAATCATGATTACATTTAGTGTGTACATGTGTCACAATCATGATTACATTTAGTGTGTACATGTGTCACAATCATGATAACATTTAGTGTGTACATGTCATAATCATGATTACATTTAGTGTGTACATGTGTCATAATCATGATTACATTTAGTGTGTACATGTGTCATAATCATGATTACATTTAGTGTGTACATGTCATAATCATGATTACATTTAGTGTGTACATGTGGAATAATTAAGATTACATTTAGTGTATACATGTGGCATAATCATGATTACATTTAGTGTGTACATGTGGAATAATTAAGATTACATTTAGTGTGTACATGTGGCATAATCATGATTACATTTATAGTGTATGTGTCATAATCATGATTACATTTAGTGTGTACATGTGGCATAATCATGATTACTTTTAGTGTGTACATGTGTCACAATCATGATAACATTTAGTGTATACATGTGGCATAATCATGATTACATTTAGTGTGTACATGTGTCACAATCATGATTATATTTAGTGTGTACATGTCATAATCATGATTACATTTAGTGTGTACATGTGTCATAATCATGATTACATTTAGTGTGTACATGTGTCATAATCATGATTACATTTAGTGTGTACATGTCATAATCATGATTACATTTAGTGTGTACATGTGGAATAATTATGATTACATTTAGTGTATACATGTGGCATAATCATGAATACATTTAGTGTGTACATGTGGCATAATCATGATTACATTTGGTGTGTACATATGTTATTATCAGACAGGAGAATATTTAGAATCACATTCAGTATACTTGTTTACTCGAGCCAGAAGCTTAATCATTTCTGAGTGACATAATAAGACCACTGAATAATTACAAAATCTATATATGATGATGAGTCCTATATCATGATAGACAGAAAGTTCTTGTGTTACTATTCTATAGCCTTTCGAGGATAAGTCACAAAATACTATTTTTTATACATACTTAATATGTGACGGAATAAAATATACCATCAGTTTATAATACATACTTATTTATATTTAATCAGTTTTTTAAGATACATAAACAAAACTTATTGGAAACATACACTTACCAACATCTTCTTGTCCTTATATTTTCTGTCATCTTGATCTCCTTGAAAGTATCCAAAGTGTATCTTCTTTGCACATGTATCAGCTATTTTGCCATTTGTGAAATGTGCTGAAAAACAATGGCCATTTCGATAAATTAGTACATTTATCATACGTTTTAATCATTCTGGAACACTATAAAGTGCATACGAGGTACAATCAAACCTTTTTATCTCAAACTTGATGTTGTTTATTCACCAATCAAGGGTCCTTGATCAGGGGGCATTTACAATTATATCAGTATGATCAAATTAAAAGTACATTATAAAATATGAGTAATTTCCACAACAGTTATACAGGGAAGATGTACAATACCACATTATTTATGATATTCATGTAAATGTAAAATATTTAACAAAGTAATGGGCAATCAGACAAAAATCATAATCAATTATCAGTACTAATTGGCTGCACATTATCAATTAACAAGTGATTATAATAAGATTTTTTTCTTTAATGAAATAAATATCCAAAAACATATTTAATCCAAGTTCAGATTTTTACACAGCCTTCATTTAATTAATTATCACATTTATAATTTAGTTTCTTTCTCTAAATAAATTGGAAAATAAGATTTTTCTTGAGTTTTTTCTTTCCTCATTAAATACAGTGTATAATGAATGGGAATATTACTGATATTAGTCCTACCTTGTATTTGAATTATTTTCTTGGAATTACAAGATTAAAAAAAGTAATTATCCAAAAAGTGGACTCATCTTCCTGTTTATTATTAAGTTTACAGATCTTTTGTATTGTTTGTATTTTTCTGATTCTAGTAAAACCCCATAAAATTGTCCATTAATTGTCTGCTATCAGCCGGACTGGCCTACATTCAATCATGGCAGTAAAAATATCAACAAAGCATGGATACCAGTGACATTTGTTAAGTAATGAGTTAGTAGCATGAAAGAGCTCCAAACAACCGACAATCCATTGTCGGCACCAATCATCACTTATATAACATTTCCAAAATTGTCTAAAACTGGGTCAGAAAACATTGAAAAGTTACAGAACCACATAACTACCAAATCAAAATAAAATACAGCTACTGTATAGTGAAAAAAGGTGGCTTGAATACATAGGATAACAAGGGATAATGCCTATGCACAGCAAATCTGACTGAAAAACTTGTACTCTAAGAATTCAAGACACTCAAGACACTCATTCAGTATACATTTAAAAGAGATATGGAAAAAAGAAAAAAAAAGTACATCACAAGGAATTATGTACTTAACACAAAACAGACTTTATGAAATGTGTTACTAATACATATCTTATATTCCAGTTTTCAGAATCATTTTACTGACTTGCACTATGCACATTTTCATTGATCATACACCAGGTTAACTTAACTTATTTTCACTGTCAAAGTTATCAAGTTATGAAAATTCTTACAGGATTTGTTTATCAATTCATACAGAACATGTCCTCCATTAATCTCAGCGAGATCCGTAGAGAATAAAAATTTTGGTCTGGTATTTCTACGTAGAAATACCAGACCAAAATTTTTATTCTCTACGGATCTCGCTGAGATTAGTCCTCCATCCTTAAACAAGATACACGAGAGTATAGAAAATGTGTTTTTTTCGTTTTTTTTTTTTGTTTTTTTTTGGTCAACTATGTAGAGACATAAATAATAGCGTTATTTACGTCTCTGATAAATGTTAGGTACATTGAAGAGTCTTATGTAAAAGTTATCAAGAAGAAAAACTTACCCAACACAACTTTTTCATTTTTCTTATAAGATAATCTTACTCTATCCATATTTCCAACATGTGCTTCTTCTTGACTTAGGTACCGGATATTTTTATACGCTACGTAATACCAAAGATTTCATGGTAAGATTTAAAAATCCCGGTACGGAAAAAAGTTATTTTTCTTCGTAAATTATGCAATTTTATAGACTGTTCAAATCTTCGGGAACGACAGGGAGGGGGGTGTATGCCCTTGCAGTTATTTCCGAGAAGACCAGAGACAGTTTATTTCTGGAAAAAAGTTAACAAACCGGTTTTTTTTTTTATTTCCCCGTATCGAAGATTCGGGGGTATATAGTTTTTGCCCTGTCCGTCATAACTCTTGATTGGTTGGAGCTATGGCTTTCATACTTCACATGTGTATTCCTTGTGACAAGAACTTTCTTTGGGTACCATCATATTTGACCTTGACCTTGGAGTTTGAGATACACTACATGTTTGACTCAGTTTTACAAAATTTTACCCAACTTTAACCTTGGCCATAACTTTTGAACAGTTGGTGCTAGGGCTTTCATATTTAAGGTGTAATCCTTGTGACAAGACCTTTCTTTTTGATACCAACAAATTTGACCCTTTGACCTTGACCTCAGAGTTTGACCTACTTTTGAAAAACTTTAACCTTGGCCATAACTTTTGAACAGTTGGTGTGAGGGCTTTTATACTTCACATGTGTAATCCTTGTGACAAGAACTTCCTTTGGATACCAACTTTGACCTTTTGACCCTTGACCTAGGAGTTTGATCTACTTGAAAAACTTTAACCTTGGCCATAACTTTTGAACAGGTGGTGCTAGGGCTTTTATACCTCACATTTTAATCCTTGTGACAAAACCTTACTTTGGATTCCAACCCTTTGACCTTGGAGTTTGACCTACTTTTGAAAAACTTAAACCTTGGCCATATCTTTTGAATGGTTGGTGCTAAGGCTTTCATATTTCACATGTGTATTTCTTGTGAGAAAGCCTTTCCTTAGGCACCATTAATTTTGACCATTTGACCTTGATGTTTGCCTTACTTTTGGAAAATTTTAACCTTTTCCATATCTTTTCAATGGTTGCTGCAAGGCTTTCATGTTTCAGAGGTATAATCCTCGGAACGAGACCTTACTTTGGGTACCAACATATTTGATTTGCATTTGATAAAGTTAAACCTTCCCTATAAGTAGCCATACAGGGGCATCAGTGTTTCACAAATACATCTTGTTTTTAAAAAAAAAAACATCTGAATACTCAGGCCTACAGGGGTAGGGCAAGCTACACTACTGAAGTAAAATGTGAGAGAATATGGAGGTGATACACTCCAGGCTTTGATCAGTGGTTCCACCAGGGCACTCTCTACTGAAGACATATACCTATAACTGCTTGGCAACATTAATTTTAGTAGAGGGTAGAATATGTTTTTCCGTCCCCCCCCCCCCCCCCAACAACAACGAAAACTTCAGACTCGTACTCAGAGCAAGTGTTATCTACAAGATCAGAGTGAGAAGTTTATATATGTTAAAAAAGGGAAACAACTCCAAGCTTTACTCACCCATGTTATTGATTTAATCCAGAATACAGCAATTAAACAGACTTGTCTCATTTCCAGACAATAATAAAGAACTGGGTTAACTTAGGCTATTATGTTGCCCTATATAGAAAAATCATTTATAATTCTCAAGATGTTAATTATATTCATGATAATTTATCTGATAAAAGCTGTTATTGATCTTCATCATACACACATAATTTAAGGAATAAATTGATTTTATATCCTATTTTGCTTATTTTCTACACTATAATTATGGTTTGGGACATAAACACTTAATAAACTACAAAGCTTTGTTCATCTTTACATCATTTGTACTTTTATGGACTGAAAAGCTCCACTTTTCTAAGAATTCAAAAACATCACAATTTACAACCCATTTTCTGATATATGAACTCTCATCAGAAACTTCTTCAATATGAAAAAAAGCATGAACTCTCTAGTTTAATGTTTGACAATTTATATTAGATAGGTTCACTGACCAGGCCACAATGAACATTAAGTGAACCTAGCTTTTTATCATGAAATGTCATTTCATTTGGAAGAAAATTAAAATATTTACAAGATAGATTCATTTGCCATTGATGACAAAAATCTTTAACCAGTCTTGATATATCAAGAAATGTTAATAATGAGAAAATATCCCAGTTTATAGTAAATGTTTCCAAGACTTCACTAAAACTATAAATACACAAGGCATAATTGATGTAATATTTTTATTGATGTCAATTCTCCTCCAATAAGTAAAAATTCACTCAGTAGTAACCCATAATTATAACATGTAAAATTTGCCTTCCTAACCTGTATTTCCCCTATCTTAATCATACCTGTGTGTTCTATAGCATTATAAATGCGTTTTCATAATAACCATAGAGAGCATATACAATTGTACTATTTTGCTTGTGCAATTTAAAAAAAAAAATTCTCCTTCCAAACTGAATTACAAAATTATACCGATATTATTATCTATGACTGAACATGTAGTGTATCTCAAATTCAGCACTTCTGTAGGTCACAGACTAATTAGCATATTTCAACTGACTAATTAGCATATTTCAGGAAAAGACCTGAATATCATATATATGGGAATATATATTTTAGCATTGATCATGAATTACCAATGACAATGTGAAATATTTTCCCATAAAATGAGTACACATTATTTAATTCTACAATAACCCTTGCAAAAATAGACACCCCACTATAGTATTCACACTGTGCATATAATAACAAAGCATCATCAAGTCATATAAAATATGATAATAATCTTATTTTTTCATAGTTATATACATTTATACATATATCTCTCATCATAAATAAACATTACCATTAATGATATGCATTCTCTGTTTGGAAAATATATATATATTTTTAAAATGTAGCAAATAGCTCAAAAATATTTAAAACAATATATCTACAAGCATGCACATACATTACAGCTGCTTTTTTCTCATATATACTAAGCTATCAGTACACATAAGAACTACATGTAACCATCTCCAACAAATCATGCTACTCAAAAAAGTATCTACAATAATAACAACTACTTGGGCATGTTGTGACGTATAACAAGATATAATACTTCAACACAATGACTATAGTTAAATAATAGTTAAATAACTATAGATGACTATAGTTAAATGAGAAGAGACGGAAGGCTCACCTCTGTCATATTACTCTTCCTCTCTCTATGTGACAAATGAATATGTGGAGAGACCCTCCTGTGACCTCAAACCAAGTTAAAGAACATATATTTATTGATTGTAACTAGAACTAGTAACTAGATTGTAACTAATTTATTGAAAACTTTAAAGTTATATCCCCAAATAAAACCTGGAATGTTATTTCCCCACCTCCTCTGACCCCAAGGGTCATATACAAGATGAAACCTGGTGTATGAGTCTGCTTGCATATGGACATTTTTACATTGATAATGTTAGAACAATATTTTAAAAAATTGTCCCTCTATATTTTTATTTAGCACTCTGAACCCTACTCCAGCATGCTAGAGGTTCACGGCGAGATACTTTTGACTTGGCGCCACGTAACCAAGGTATATAAGGAGCATAGGGACGTTAACCGAGGCTCTTACTTGTAGGGGTATCTGAACCCTATTGTGGTCCAGGGAGGGGAAGGGGGGTGCACGACTTATTATTCTATTTAGGAATATTTCTACACTTATTCCAACCTTGCTGTTCAGGAAGATATTTTTTTTTAAGAGAATATTCCTACAATTTTCTTTATTCATGTAAAACGTACCCTGTCCACAAGGTTAAAGACTTCAACAACTCATATCTCCACAACATGGAGATATTATTTGACTGGACAGGAAATGAAGAAATTTATTTAAATTTTTATATTAAAAACTTTGAACAATCTTCAGCAGTCAACTCATACCTTGGGGGTCATGACTTGACAAACACTGAAACTGCACTACATTGAGATACTTGCACACATTTGAGAAATTATAGATTTGCTAAATCTATAGAAAAAATTATTCAGAATCCAATGTTTATGAATCCAATGTAAAACTGAGACCCTTTTTGTGGACACACTATAACACAAGGAATCCAGACCCAAACAATCAAATCTGCACTACTTGGGGATATAGCAGGACATCCACATTCCTGTGAACTTTAAACTTCAATTGAACACTTTTTGATAAAAATTTTACCTTCATTTGTCTTTTTTTTCTTATTTACATACTCTTTTAGAGACAAGATCTTTAATGGCCCTCCCCTATTTTCTTATTCATCTTCCCTTAGAAAAGAACTTTAACAACCCTCACCCTATTTTTTTAAAGAGAACAAATGGTCCTCACTTTAACATAATTAATGCTTGTGCCTATTTTATTTGATTCAGTAGTTCTGGAGATTATAATGCAAGTGTAAAAAGTTTAAAGATGACACGGGACACTCAAAACAAACAGACATACGGTCAAGTGAGTACTGGTCACTCTTAAATCAGAAAAGTGCATGTAAACCTTTAGCAAGGGTGAACGCTATAAAATTAAGGTTTCATGGCACACATCTTCAAAAATTAATCATTGAAACAGAAAAATAATAATAAAAAAAAATTGCATCCAGTGAACAAAAACATGAAGAATATCCATTTGCATGCCCCTTAATGTACCAATAGTATGAAATGACTTTAAAATCCTCTAGACATAGAAAATTTCTATATCCCACTGTGTAAGATTTCCTTCATACTAGACAATGACTAAGAAAATTAGGCATGGAATGTACCAGTATTTAACACAGATTACAAAACCAACAATGTGACATTTAGGAAGAACTACATCTGAACAAATGAAAGAAAAGTGAGCAAGCTCACATACCCCACGCTTACCCCCAAAACTGGACAATGCAACACGTAATGAATGGCACAGTGCATTTTAAATACACAGAATAATTCAAAAAGGGGCATTACTTGCTAAAAATCATCACATCTAAACTTCTTGCATATAAGGACATTCAAACCTTTGTATGTTACACATTTAATTGGGCTGAAGTTTCTAGATAACTATAAATAATGGTATCAAAATTTCTTGGTAATATACAAATCTATACATTAATTATGTCTGAAATAACTACAAAGCTTCAGGAAATTCAGTGCAGGAGTTATGCTGACAAACTGTTAATTAAATTCCTCAGTGATTTCGAGTTGTTAATGAGTGTACGTCCATGTCCAACACATGAACAATTTACACATTTATATAAATGATGGAAACAAAATTATGATGTAGTCATATGAATTTGTTTATATACTGTACTTATGAAATTATTTAAGGCAAAGCACCAATTTGGGGGGGGGGGGGTGAGAACTATCCAAGATTTTGTGTGTGTGTTTGCTAAATCATTAATATTTTGATCTCAAAATCAATAGGGGTCTTTTAACGTCATAAAATATTTCACATAAAATTTCATTTCAAAAGCTGATTCCAGTGGATTTCCTTATTACCTAGCTGGAAAGTTTCTTCAATAATAGGCAAAACTCTTAGGGCAAAAATAAGGGAATCGGAATTTCCTGGTAATATGCACATCTACACACTGTGTACTAAATATCTGCAAAGTTTGACCAAATTCTGTGCAGCGGTTTAAGAGGAGTTGCGCTGACAAACAGTACATCTCTATATTCAAGGTATGGCCAAAAATCTAAGTTGAAAAGTGCCTAAATTCCCAGAAAAAATAAAGGAATTGGAATTTCCTTGTAATATGCACATCTACACACTGTGTACTAAATATCTGCAAAGTTTGACCAAATTCTGTGCAGCGGTTTAAGAGGAGTTGTGCTGACAAACTGTTCGTCTCTATATTCAAGATATGGCCAAAAATCTAAGTTGAAAAGTGCCTAAATTCCCAGAAATAATAAAGGAATCAGAATTTCCTTGTAATATGCACATCTTTACATTATGTCCTAAATATCTGCAAAGTTTGAACAAATTCTGTGCAGCGGCTTATGAGGAGTTGCGCTGACAAAAAAACAGGACTGACTGACTGACTGATGGACAGGTAAAAAAAATTATACCCCCGCAACTTGTTGCGTGGGGTATAATAAACATTAGAACTGTACTACTAATACTCCTTGCTGGACATATCAAGACATTGGAACCATGTAATACAATGAAATATACTGCATTTATAAGTAACCTTTAAGTCAAGATTTTGCATCTATGGTTTGAACAAAACTTGACCTTGTTAATCCTGTGACCTTGTCCAAATGGCTTTGGCTCAAGACCCTGACATACTTTCTGGTTAACAACACCATTCATCTACTGTGTTTCCATAACAAATTAAAAATCAACTTGTAAAAGAATATATGCTCTAGGAGCCAGTGACCTTGACCTTGTTCCAAGGACCCTGGTTCAGGGCCAGGACATCGAAAACAAACAAATCTCCTATAAATTCTCAATTAAATGTTAAAGCCTTGAAACAAAACAGGATGAACAAAAAGCTGACAGGATGCAAGGATGCATAAAAAACCAATATCACAAGTTTGAAGTTGTAGATTATTATTCTCCGGAGGATAATGGTAATCTGAAGGTTCTTTCACAAAATTAATTATAACACTAAACCAATATGAAGTGAGAATGGGAAAAACTTTACATGCTAATTTAAATGTTTAGTGCCAGGATGCTTTTGACATAAAAAAAAAATCACTATACTAGAGTCACAAAATGTACATAAATAGAAATACAAAACAAAAAAATTAATTAATAAAACATTTAATCTATTATAGCATATTGATTGACATTTGAAGGCAAGAACTGTTGAAAGAGGGATGAAAGGTGTAAAAGCAAACAAGGACCTGCCTCCAACATATCCATTTATAGTACTGATTTCTTATTTCATTATGATTAAAAAAATCTTTTGCTACCAAAAGTAACTGTGTGAAAAATGTTATACAAACAAAAGTAGCAGTTCTTGACTGCAGTTCAGGTGAGCTGTAACAAAAAGAAATACTTTTTTATGAAACACAGTGTACTTTCAACTTCAGTTGCTTGCATTGCATCTCTTGAAAAAAAATAAGTCAGACTGACTATTGAGAGAATCCAATTTGTTTTTAATATATAAAAAATGTAGTATGAATTTTTTTGTTTGTATCAAATTTTTTTTAGAACACTGAACGATGAAAAAGGCCTCAAAATACACCCCCTCTAAATGTATACATTTCTTGTATGTTCTATGGTTCTGAAATAAGTCTAAAAGACAACAATCTTTTTCTTCCCATGATTTGAAAAATCCAAAGTGTAACAAAAAGAGAATTTTGTTTAAAATTATCTGATGGTTGATCAATAATGTGATCAGTATTCTAAATTTAAAAAGCAGCAAAACTACACAAGACGGGTGAAAACACACTTCTAAGCACCTGGTAAGTAAAATACATGTAAATATAACTGAATTTTCTCTATCCAGCATTTTACTTTTATCTAAGTGGGGGAAGAAAATCCAGATTTTGTTAACTCAATCCTTTTCTTCTTACCAACATTTTTTTTTTAATTTGAAAAGGTTTCCTCCTAAAACAGACAGAGGAAAATCCCAGCATGGCATAAAGTTAGCACCCATTATATCTTAAAGCATAAAACAAATTAAAGAATGTTATAAATCATATTTAAAGAGAAAAAAATAACAATTAACTTCTTCCTTAACAAAATGGAATGCTCACACACTATGCACATTTAAGTGCATTAAACAGACAGGATTGCATTACACTGTAACAAAAGGTACACACAAAATAGATATAGTACATGTACCAACATAACATAATGAAAGGTGCAAATTGAATGTTTTAAAAAATTGTGTTCACAAATATAATACTGATTCATATGGATAACTTAATGTACCTGCATAATTTAAAGAATACATGTACTAAATTAAATATAGGAGAAAAGTTTTTTTTTCCTTTAAATTTTAAAGTAGGTTTTATGGTATACGTATCTGAAAATCATTTTCACATTGAAAAAAAAAATTCAAATAAACTAGTTTACAAATATCTAAGTTGGAGGTAAGTCTATAAATACTGCAAGCAGAAGTCTATGAGAGATCTGCATGCTCTTTATATCAGTCAATAAATAAGTCTTCTGACCTTTACCCTCCTATATCATATGCCATTTATAATGAACAAGGAAATAAATAATAAGAAAACATAACAATTACATGTACAACATCATTTGTACAAACATAGGAATAAATGAAGAAAATTGTATAGCTTGCATAGGTATGATTTGATGTCATGGATATCACTGAAGCTTAAAACATATAAGCACGTCATAAAATATATATAACATCCATAATTCTAAGACATAAATCCTCTCATATTTAAGTACATGTATTTTGCTGGCAGATCTTGCGTATAAATTGGTCTCCAGACCCAACCGTAAGACAACAAATAATTAACAGAACTTAATTAGAACACTATGACTACTTGGCCTTCCATTCTTTTCTGACTTCATCTTCATGTATATGTTCTACCTTCCATTTCTGAGTGTCTGAATTTTTATCACATGGATTCATAAATATTTCATGGCTGCCTGTATCACAATCTAAACACTGATTACTTATCACATGGAAAATTTGTTGTGTATCCTGAAAAAAAGAAAGGAAAAAAAACCCCATAAATTTCTATATACATGTATATAAAATATTTAAAACAGAAAGTTCCTATATGATAATAATATATTTTTAAAAATTGCATCATAAACAGGAAAAGTCAAGAATATCTAAATGAAATACTTTATACACTGTACATTAGATTTGTTCTTCTTTTGGCTTCAAAACCTACAACCTTCTGGATCATTTAAAAAAAAATCAGAGATAGAAAAGACCCATGGACTACTATGCTTATCTGCATCAGGCTACTTTTTTGAAATTTTCTAAATAATTTAACTCTTATGAAACTGCTTTTACTCTAGATAATCAGGAGTAAAAAAGATATTCAAAGATTGCATGAGTTTTGTTGATTTCTTATTGCAGCATCTTAGATCTTGAATTCATGATTTTATGGACACTTACCGTAATTCTATACTAAATCGAGAAGTGTTTGCAAGATTTTTTTTTCCCGAATGACCTCACTCCATTTTCACACTTATTTTTTTTATTAGTGACTTTATGGACTGTCTATTTATTGCAATAAAATCAAATTCCCTTTATCTGTGTATTATGTCAGAATTTAATAGCCTATTAAAGTTTTAAGAGAAAAAGAAAACTGCAAGAAGTATACATATGGTAATAGAAAACAAAGAAGGGGAATGTCTGGCTAATTCTGATCAAGAAAGTTCTGACATTTATAAATGCCACCTAAAAAGACCACATGTACATGTACTTACAATATTATATTTAAACCTTTGGTTGCCACCCATGCCATGGCAACTAAATAAGATAACAGGTGCTTTTCTTATAGATTGAGACACATCAAAACACACTGTTCTTTTGCCAGGACGAATGTCTTTGTGCCACGTAAACTCAAATTGCTGAAAAAAAAATTAATTCATTAGTACTGGCTTGACTAGTTGACAAATTTCACAATATCTGAAAAGGCACAATTTCTCGTCATAACCAAGCACCTAGTTTATCTGCTAAATATTCTGGAGCAGAGAAGAAGATTTTCAAAGAAATAATGCATTTTCACTATATAATCAATAGAGCCCTCCCCAAAGAACCCCTGACCCTGGGGCAACAAATTTCAGAATTTTTGAAAAGGCACCTTTGTTCTTCATAACTATGTACTTAGTTTATGTGCTAAATATCCAGGAGCAGGGTAGTAGATTTTCAAATAAACAATGCATTTTCACTATATACTGTAATCAAAAGTGCCACATCCTAACACCAGAACCCCAATCCAGGGGCCATGAAATTCACAGTTTTGGAAGAAGCACCCTTGTTCATCAAAACTATGCACTTATTTTGTTTGCTTAATACCAAGGAGAAGAGAAAAAGATTCTCAAAAAAATTATGCATTTTCACTATATAATCAATAGAGTCCCCCCCAACCCCCGACCCAAAGGTCACAAATTTGGGAGAGGAACCCTTCTCATCATGACCATGCACCTAGTTTATCTTCTAAATATACAGGGGAAGAGAAGATTTTTAAAGAATTTATACATTTTCACTATATGATCATTAGAGCCTGCCCTTACTCCAGAACATTTGACCCTGGGGCCAAGAATTTCACGATTTTGGTAGAGGGTTAAATGCTCATTGCAATCATGCCACCAATTTGACTGCTTGATGTCCAGGATTAAATAATAAGATTTTCAAAGACAGCACTAATTTTGATGGCTTTAGCCCAACCCCTCACACCCCAGTGGTTCAAGAGAAGCTGAAAATGTTTAAAAGTTTACTACTGATGAACAACAAACTACACACAACGACAGACGAAAACAGATAGCAATAGGTCACCTGAGTGTCTCAGTTGACCTTAAACAAATAATTGCAGAAATGCCAAATCTGAGGGAATGGGTGAAGTATTTGGGAATTATTCTTCATTACTAATGTTTTGCAGTGATACTCCAAAAACAAAAACAAAAAAACATAAACAAGGGCACTTCAAAGTGGAGCATTCCCTCAGATAAGATAACATAAATCCTGATGTAAATCGACTTCTGATACACCCACACTCATTCATCCCCACACTCACAAGCACTCAATTCTATATCCCCTCCAACTTCATTGCAAGGGGATAATCAAAGGCCTGAAGGCCTGAGAGGCACATTGCATTGAAGGTAGAAAAATCAATTTTTTTTTCTCAGAAAAATTCATTATACATACCAGGGAATGAAAAAAATCAGGAATGAAAATAAAAATATTGTTTCTTTGAGGTTAAAAAAAGTTTTGAGTCATGGCATTTTTAACCAGTCGGTCGGAAGAGGGCAAACAAACATTTCTTTAAAGCTATGTCTCTGTTTAAAGATAGTCTGATATATCAAATAAAATTCTTTGATATCTAAATTAAGAACGAGGGCGCTTTTGATTGGCATTCGGCAGGAATCTGGGCGCACTTGAAAAGTGAAAATTTCGTTGATCTGTCACATGAAATTTTAGCATTCTTTTGCTGTATCGGGTTCCTTTGAAATAGGAAATGGAAATATTTTCCTGATATTGTATTTTGATTTGCTAAAGAAGAACTTGAAAATTGGCTAGATGAGTCATTTGGTACAAAATGTTACATTTTCAAACACATTTTTCTAAAAATTTGCTATCTCTGGGTCATCTCTCCATGATTTTGAAACATTATTTCTGTGCATTTTAATTCAAAGAAACAAACAAACATTTGAGAGAAAATGGAGAGAAGACCCAGAGACAATAAAAAATGAACTTTTTCCAAAAAAATTTCAATGTGTAAATGCGGTGCTTCATTGTCGCTTTAAAAACCATAAAGTGTGTGGAGCGGTGATAGCTCAGTAGTATGCGTAACCCGTCCAGTGCAATGAAAAAGAAATATTTTTGGTTCGATCCTCACATGGAGCGTTAATATTTTTTAGTACAAATAATCAATTCTTTTGTCAGTTTAATTTTATGTACTGATTTATTTTCAAATAGATAAATTCTGGTTCTGTTACACCGAAAGCGAAATCAATTTTTCCAACCTACTGATACTTTAATATGTACATGTAATTGCATTTAACGATACCCTATAGGTGTTTATTACTTATGTGAAACATTACTAAGTTTTACATGTAGCAATTATTAAGATAAGCGGACTGATATATTAAATTCGACAAAGTATTAAACTAAATGTAACATTTTCCCATGTGCGTAACTTTGTAAAGTGTGTCCAGCTGTGGTCAGCCAACCAAATCGTGGACATTTAAACTATAAATGTTTCATACGCCTTATTCCTGCAGATCACACTGCAGATATCAATTAAATTCTTATTTTTTAAAATTTTTATTCTTTAATTATTATCACAGTAGGAAGATGAAATAATGAATGAGAATTTAGAAATGATTGATTATTGAGTAATTCTATACAATTTATATCTGAGTTTTTTCAGTTTCTCTCCTTATGTGCACTTTTTTAATATCAATACTTGTCTTAGACTAGTTTTCTCAATCAAATGGCATAATACCATGAATACGTAAACCATAGTGATTCATGAAATGTTCATATAAATAATACGGGACTGAAAAAAGAAAAAAAATCGGGCGTGGTATACAGTATACTAAGAAACCCCTTAAATTTTGGCCGATTTCCGATATTTTCAATAAAATTAGCTATAAAACTTTAGAGGTAAGGATTGAACACAAAAGGTCTAAGTTTATAAGGTATTAGTAATCCTATAAATTGAAATCCACAGTCACTGCAGTTCTTTATCAGTCATTTCTTGATATTCAATCGACATTTCACCAAAATCCAATCATTTCACCGTTTCGTGTCACCCGCGGAATTATTTTCCCAAAAGGTGGCGCTTGTTGCAAAAATTTATTCAGTTGGACATCTTACTATTTGTTTCATCGAGTGAAAAAATAATATTCATTCTATTTCTATAAAAAACAACCATCTCATTCCTATTGTTAGTGATGCTTTATCAAATAAAATTATTGTACATTTTTCTCAGATATTCTTACAAGCAATGTCGCTTTACAAGGCATAATGATTTATAGTACGAGCTGTTGTGATGCAAATAGATCTTACTCCGCGTAGCGCATGTTTGTTTGTTGTTGTTTTCTCTCTTTCTCGGTTTTTGTTTGTTCTTTTCTTTTTTATCTTTGTTGCTTTCAAAGTATAAACAACATATAAATGTGAGATTTTACGTTAATATTTAAAAATACACAATGAATATCACCAACTTGTCAGTATACATTTGCACTATTTTCAATAGCGTATTTAGAATCAATATTGTGGAGTCCTTCTTTGCCGCAGTAATTGAAAGAAAAAGTGGGGGTCGTCAGCGATGAAGCTACATCGCTGATAGCAATGCGTCTCAAAAAAGCACGTGCCTATAAAATACTAATAAGACTTGCATACACAGTAATATGTGATTTACAGTAACTGAAATGTTAACCATGTAGAGTAGACAATATTGTTGTAATATTGTTAGTTAATTAAAACAGGGAAAATTAAAAAAAAAGGTTTTTAGATGCTTAACAGCTATATTCATTTAAAAGGTTAATATTTAACAATAAAACATTTTGTTTCATAGACACTAACCTGTTCCCCACCACCTTTGCCATCTTTAACACACGGCTGAAGATCAAATCTCTCATTGGCTCCCTTGTATCTCGTGTCCAAACACAGATCTGCTGCTTTACTGCGAATCTGTTAAATCAAAATGACATATGTATCTACACACACTGACAGTGCATTATTTAAATAATAATGTTCATACAAATCATTCTCTAATTTCATCCATCTGAGAGACATTTACGAATGCAATAAGACTTTCAAAGCAACTTTTTTAAAACAACTAGACTACAGAGAAGTCTTCACACAGGACTTGTATGGCATAATGTTGCTAAGTTACAATATAGGTATTTCAAAGAATATTTCTACTTACCTCCCCACTAGCAAATGGAGGGGGTTCCACAGGGGGATAAAACTTGGGCAGATCAAAAGCCACCTCCTCCATGAACCACTTGAATGGTTTACAGTGAAGTTTCTCCCTGATTTCCTTCTGGGGGGTCATGTCTCCAGCGTCAATATTCCTATAATGTGGTCTCCTCTTGTATAGATACTCAGCATATTCATCCATCCACACTTCAGCTACCCTTTTATAGTTCTATGTAAAAATCATAAACATGTCTGGTTTAGCAGAAGAAATATTCTTAAACAAAAAAACTGGATTTATTTTTCTGTTATTTTAATTTGAATATTTTTGGCAGATTTAAGTACAAGTATTCACTGGATGATATACTAAATGATTTAACACGCTCAATATTATATCTGTTAAAACAGTAAAGACTTTAATTTGATTTATAAAAAAAAAAGAAGCTTACCCTGCCAACAAAGTCTCCTACCCCTGGGTTAGGAAATGGGGCAAACTTCCTATAAATATGTCCAATTCTCGAACAAGGGGCATCCACCATCATACCCCCACACTGCCATATCTATAAATTCATTGTTGATTATTATTAAGTAGGAAACATATTTTAAAATGAATGAATGTAAACCTCAACATCTAGAAAATAACACCACCATATACAATTAAATCTTGATATCTCTTACTCAGCAAGACTGACAAAAACTTTAAGATATCAAAGTGTTCAAAATATAGCTTGACCTCAAACTGTAGTTTGACCACTGAACTCACTTCAACATATCTCAGCGATTCGAAATATTTCTTTTAGAGATGCTGAAGTTCAAGCTTTATAAATGAATCAATATAGTAATCTCAAGTCTTTGAGTCATCTGTGATACCTTAAAAGAGAGTTCATATTGTTCACCTCCCCATATGTCTAGCCCTGGGTCATATCCTCCCATCTCCCAGAACCACTTGGCACTGATTGCAAACAGACCCCCAGCCATCACTGGGCTCCTGAAATCAAAAGATCACATATCTTGTGTAATTACTTTTTCTTCAAGAAATCAATCAATTTATACCATGTCACATTATCACCTTTTATCAAACTTAAATATATGTGTAAATTGAAACAAGACAGAGATTAAACAAGAGGCCCATGGGCCACATCGCTCACCTGAGTAACTTTGGCCATGCTGTTCTTTACCAGATTCTCCCCATTTTAATATACCTATTGTGGCTCCGCCCTACCCCCGGGGGTCATGATTTGAACAATTTAGAATCTACACTACCCCAGGATGCTTTCATAAAAGTTTCAGCTTTTCTGGCCCAGTGGTTCTTGAGAAGAAGATTTTTAAAGATTTTTCTTATGTATTTCAATGTAAAACTTGGATTCCCTATTGTGGCCCTGCCCTGCCCCCGGGGGTCATGATTTAAACAATATAGAATCTACACTACCCCAGGATGCTTCCATATAAGTTTCAGCTTTTCTGGCTCAGTGGTTCTTGAGAACAAGATTTTTTAAAAAAATTTCCTATATATTTCAATGTAAAACTCCAATTCCCTATTGTGGCTCCGCCCTACCCCCGGGGGTCATGATTTGAACAATTTAGAATCTACACTACCCCAGGATGCTTTCATAAAAGTTTCAGCTTTTCTGGCCCAGTGGTTCTTGAGAAGAAGATTTTTAAAGATTTTTCTTATGTATTTCAATGTAAAACTTGGATTCCCTATTGTGGCCCCGCCCTACCACCGGGGGTCATGATTTGAACAATTTAGAATCTACACTACCCCAGGATGCTTCCATAAAAGTTTCAGCTTTTCTGGCCCAGTGGTTCTTGAGAAGAAGATTTTTAAAAATTTTTCCTATATATTTCAATGTAAAACCTGGATTCCCTATTGTGGCCCCGCCCTACCCCCGGGGGTCATAATTTTTACAATTTAGAATCTACACTACCCCAGGATGCTTCCATATAAGTTTCAGCTTTTCTGGCCCAGTGGTTCTTGAGAAGAAGATTTTTAAAGATTTTTCTTATATATTTCAATGTAAAACTTGGATTCCCTATTGTGGCCCCGCCCTACCCCCGGGGGTCATGATTTTTACAATTTAGAATCTACACTATCCCAGGATGCTTCCACATAAGTTTCAGCTTTTCTGGCCCAGTGGTTCTTGAGAAGAAGATTTTTTAATGACCTCACCCTATTTTTGTCTTTTCTTGATTATCTCCCCTTTGAAGGGGACTTGGCCCTTTATTTTAACAATTTACACTCCCCTTCACCCAAGAATACTTTGTACCAAGTTTGGTTAAAATTGGCCCAGTGGTTCTTGAGAAGAAGTTGAAAATGTGAAAAGTTTACAGACGGACGGACAGACGGACGGACGACGGACAACGGGTGATCAGAAAAGCTCACTTGAGCTTTCAGCTCAGGTGAGCTAACAAAAACATGAATATTTCAATTCAGAAAATCCAAAATTGATGTAAATGTGTCTTCCTAAATAAATCAACACAAATTTTTTTGAGTCTTTGTAGTTTACGTTGTATTACAGTTCAACAGATTACATTTACTTGAATGGTTCAGCAGGATGTTTTAAGTCTTCCTCCAGTAATGGTAAACGCTTGTAGAAAAATTCCCAATCGAACGCTCCTCTAGCCCCTTCATCCTGGGCTCGATATGCAAAGTTCTCAAAATCAATGACATCAATAAAAGGGCAGACAACTGTTTTGTAGTCTTCTGCTATTGGCTCTGTTCCAAACATGTACACAAAGTAAGTGAATATAAACATACAACTGGTCTTTCATTTATCTTGTATAAAAACAAATTTTATAAGTACTTCACTACTGCAAGAATTAATTGTCAGTAACTGCCTGTATTGTTTTTGTAATAAATTACCCACCAATAAACTGGGCTTTGATTGTAAAATTATTAATTGGACTTGATCTTATACCATGTACCAAATACTTTTGTTATATTAAGATTTAATACTTTGATAATTATTAAAACATCAAAACTAAAAGGGTTTTTAAGGTATAAATATGTCATGTACCAGTGAAGTTTGAGAAATAAAATTTTATCTTCATAAAATATTCCGATTATTCGACTATCGTTTGAATAATGCAATAGAATAATCAACTAAGGAAAATAATTATTTTGACATCCCATATATATATATATATATATATATATATATATATATATATATATATATATATATATATATATATATATATTACCCAGTAAGGGAGGTAACCAGTTGATGTTGGCCTCACAATGGGAGTCGAGGAATATGAGAACTTGTCCTGTGGCTGCCTTGGCCCCCAGAAGTCTAGTCCTGATTAACCCCTCCCTCTTCTTGGCCCTCACCACCTTGACATTGGTAAAGTGTTCTTTCACATAGTCATCAAGAGGCTGCTTACAGTGCTCTGCAGATAAACAAAAAAAGCTTTAACAAAGTTTCTGTTTTTCAAATTTTTTTTTAAAAGTGTAATATAAACTTTAAAAAATATACCAAGCCAACTGAATTTTATGAGGAAAAGCAAAATGGTAAAAATCAGCCTATGTGATGTAGATTGATTTTTACCATTTTGCTTTTCCTCATAAAATTCACTCAGCTTGGTATATTTTTTTAAAGTTTATATTACCGGGTACACTTTTAGCACCATGCTAACATATATATTCTGAAATTTATTTTCATCTGTAAACCTTTACTGAGTGTGATTTGTCCATATTTGTAATTTTATTGAAGTATCAACTAATATTTTCCAAGTGTCATTTCTTTTATGCAAGAAAATACAACAGGTTATTGAGTAAATGTAATATCAGCTCACTCCCTGCTACTTTAGAAACATTTCTGAAGAAAAAAAGAGGGTAAATGAATGAAGATTAAACAATTTTATCATGATTACTCTAATTGTGTACTTTTGTGGGGAATATGGTAGACATTTCATTTTCCAAGTCTAAGGAGAAAAAAATCAAAGAATTATCCACTTTTCTAAAACTGTGACATGATATTAAGTCTCCTCCAAAGAAAAAAATTGTTTGTATCATCTATGCTTAAAGAAAAAAAATCTCCCCAAATTTGTTGTGCATCAAGAAAAATAAAAAAAACTCTTACAAAATAAATGTGTTCTTTAGAATACATTTAAATACTTGAAATTACAGAAAGAATAATATATGTATGTGTATTAATACAAAGTATAGAATTACTTACTTAATACAAATGTATGTGTATTAATACAGTGTAGAATAACTTACTTAATACAAAAGGTATAACTTGTGAGGAGTAAAAGGACCTCTTTCCAAATGAACACATGGAAATGTGCATAAACTACGACATACTGGTCAGAGACAGAGAAAGAGTGTATAGTTAATTGGAAAAGACTTTGAAAACCAATGGACCAATGTTTGTGTAACCAATGGACCAATGCGTTAAAATGGAGAAATTAATAGTCTTTTCATATGACATATCTTAATTACCTCATCATCAACCTATTTCCACCATAACTGCGCCTGTTTGCATGATGCAAATAAACTATTGCAAAATAGATAACTGTTTCTTGAAATACATGTAATGATATATTTCTTTTTGCAATCTTTTAGAGGATTCTCAAGGGTCTTTGTTTACTGACCTTTTGTGCTGTAATCATCCACCAGAATGACTTCGTGGATGAGGTGCTTGGGTGAGCGATTAAGTACACTCCACGCTGTTCTCAGAAGTGTGCTCCAGTGCTCGTTGTGAAATGGAACAATGACACTAGCGTTCATCAAATGGTTCAAGTACTTTTTCTTTTTACAACTATAAAAAAAAAACAAGTCAGCCAATCAAATACAAAGCATATCTCAGTAGAATCAAATTTATTGTGTATATCAGTAATAACAGAGAGGCTTAGTCTCAATAGATCGCAGCTGCTCTACTAGGTATGACATCCCCACCAAGAACTAAATATCAGATTTATTGTGTATATCAGTAATATCAGATCTATTGTGTATATCAGTAATATCAGATTTATTGTGTATATCAGTAATATCAGATCTATTGTATATCTCAATAATATCAGATCTATTGTGTAACTCAGTAATATCAGATCTATTGTGTATATCAGTAATATCAGATCTATTGTGTATATCAGTAATATCAGATCTATTGTGTAACTCAGTAATATCAGATCTATTGTGTATATCAGTAATATCAGATTTATTGTGTATATCAGTAATATCAGATCTATTGTGTATCTCAGTAATATCAGATCTATTGTGTATATCAGTAATATCAGATCTATTGTGTATATCAGTAATATCAGATCTATTGTGTAACTCAGTAATATCAGATCTATTGTGTATATCAGTAATATCAGATCTATTGTGTATATCAGTAATATCAGATCTATTGTGTATCTCAGTAATATCAGATCTATTGTGTATATCAGTAATATCAGATCTATTGTGTATATCAGTAATATCAGATCTATTGTGTATATCAGTAATATCAGATCTATTGTGTATATCAGTAATATCAGATCTATTGTGTATATCAGTAATATCAGATCTATTGTGTATATCAGTAATATCAGATCTATTGTGTATATCAGTAATATCAGATCTATTGTGTAACTCAGTAATATCAGATCTATTGTGTATATCAGTAATATCAGATCTATTGTGTATATCAGTAATATCAGATTTGTTTTGTGATTCGGAAAGCAGAGACTTGAGGTCAAAAGACAAGAATCAGACCTAACAGAGGAACATTTGGTCAGCTTTTAAAAGACACAAAATATTATCTGGATTACTTTTCATCTGATAGATTTAATCATTCCCAAACCTTTAGAATTTACTAATTATCCTATTGACTTTAATATGCACAACAATAGACATAAGGAAATGCTTCGTCATCAGATGCAGTTTAATGACTATACAGTAAAATAAAAATATCTAAACGGCTCTCAAACTTCTGTTGATTTCACTTACTCTGGATGACGAATGTCCTTCAGAGACCTGTGGAGGGAAATTTTATCACTAGCATAAGCATTAAAACCATTCACTTTGTACAGATCTCCTTTCTTTTTCTCATCTTCAGGGGAGAGAATCACTGCCTGTCCCTGTTCACCAGGTCCTTGTAAAACAAAATATAAATCACTACAGGTAGGAAAGAAAAATCTTGAACTAGCGTCAACGTAAATCGAAAGTTTTTACAATGGACAATTTACAATTGGATCTGTAGCTCTCTGGTTTTCTCAACCAGACAGCTTCAGTTCTGCAGCTACTTGGTGGAAGTGCTAAGTATGCGTGTGTCAATCAAATGCGTCCCATAATTCGTAGTTTTAATAATTTCCAGATAAAAGAAGTTTCTGAACAAGCTTTTATAAGATTTCGGTGTGAAATTCTTTAGCAACATATAAGTCATAATATATTAAAATTTTAAGAAAATATTAACTTTAATCTCTGTCTAAGCCCCTTTAACATATGATACTTTATGTCATTTTTTTCTCTCTGCTTTTTAATGTTCACTTCAGAAAATTTCATGATTCAAACAGCACACTTCTTATATGTACATGTCATTTCATTAAAAAACATTACAAAAAACTTAATATGTCACAAAATTAAATTAGAATCGGAAGGAATTTTCAAAATCAAGTTACAATCATTCCAAATAGCAAGTATACAAAATGTACAAATTTAGAACACATATTGCTCCAATGTATGCATACAAATAACACCAACATTTTCAGGAAATCAATTTTCTGTATGTATACCTTGTCTCTGCTCTTCTTCTGCAATTTTCTTATAGTCATGCCAATCAATTTTTTGTAGTGGTTCATCTGCATGAGGTTTCTAAAATTCAAAATTTATGAATTTTATAGGTATATTCATAATTTCACTTTAAGAAATTAAAAATCAAGCAAAAGGAAAAATACATATTCATAATATTCACAAATATACAACTCTTTCTTTCCTTACCTTTCCATTTTCCGGAGCTTTTGGCATTACATTACGAGCATCTACATAGAGATCTGGAGGTGAATCAGAACCAAATAGCTTCCTCAAAATAAGAGGTCCCCCTAAAACTATGACACATCCCACAATTAGATATTTCAGCAGTGTCACTGTGTTTCTCCTCATCTCATCTGATGTTTACCTCACTGTAACAAAAAGTACATTGAATACTGTTATTAAAGTTAAGAAATTTGTTGTTTTGATATAAAGAAACTTAACAATTAAATCATAGCATACTTTCTGTCTAGTTGGATACTCTTTTCACATCTGTCCATTTCATAATCACTGTTTTAAAACTTAAATACCAGCAAGTTTCATCCAGGTATACATGTATACATTTTACTACTGTCACTCTTGACTGGTTACATATCTAACTACCCTAACAAGTGTTGTTTAATCAACAATGATTGAACAAGATAGGAGCAACAAATTAATGTTCACCTGTAGGCCATCTTTCTTGTGCGACTCCTTCAAGACAACCAAAGGTATGGATGAAGAGATCCAATACTCCATAAAGGTGTTGGATCAATTCACCCTCAATGCATTGTTTAACTACAGTCTATTTACCCAATCATTATATCAATTTAAGCAAGCAAACACAGTACAACTCTTAGAAGTTTATCAAAGATATAGAATTTGTTTGCATTTTCACCATAACAATTGTACATTCCACAAAAACATCTAAATATTTATAAGACATGTGTTTCATTTTGAAAGAACAGAAAGAAATTGATTTTTTAAAGAATAAATCCATTATTCATGTTAATTTACAGATTAACATAAATTTAAACTGGTAAATTTATCATTTGATGTGAACTGAAATTAATTAAGAGGAGGCATAACAATTTTGCAGACAGTACTTGGATTGAAATAGAAATAGTGCTCTGAAAATGAATAAATGATTTATTTGAAGTTTATTTAAACAGGTCTTTGGTGGCTTCTTTATGAACAAAAACATTTAGAAATTTATATGCATATTGTGAAAAGCATAATGTATATTCAAGAAGCATTGACATATAATGTACTTTGTTTCAAATGAAACTTTTAAGCATGCAAATATATGAAAAACATAGGTTCTTATATCAGCTTCAGTACCAAACATATTATTTTTCATGTAATTACTTTGTATATGAAAGTCATGACAAATGCACATGTAATTTACATAAGAACACTAGGCATGATACAATCCCTATCTAACAAATGGATCCAGAAAACTGTAGTTATAGTTGATAAGGTAATGTTTAGAAGATTTTAATTAACATTAAAAAAAATTACAATTGGTACAGTTTTTGCAATAATTTACTTTCTTATTATTTAGATAGATCTAAATTATTCAAATCTTCTTTTCAAAAGCATATTTACATAGTCAGAGATTGCCTGTGACAAACACTAGTTTTATTGTCAGTAAATTCAGACACTGTCAGTGTGACAAACACAAGTTTTTTTGTCAGTAAACTCAGACATTGTCAGTGTGACACTTATTATCAGTAAATTCAGATATTGTCAGTGTGATACTTGTTTTATTATCAGTAAATTCAGACATTGTCAGTGTGACACTTGTTTTATTGTCAGTTAATTCAGATATTGTCAGTGTGACAAACACTTGTTTTTTATTGTCAGTAAATTCAGACATTGTCAGTGCGACACTTGTTTTATTATCAGTAAATTCAGACATTGTCAGTGTGACACTTGTTTTATTGTCAGTAAATTCAGACATTGTCAGTGTGACAAACACTTGTTTTTTTATTGTCAGTAAATTCAGACATTGTCAGTGCGACACTTGTTTTATTATCAGTAAATTCAGACATTGTCAGTGTGACACTTGTTTTATTGTTAGTAAATTCAGATATTGTCAGTGTGACAAACACTTGTTTTTTATTGTCAGTAAATTCAGACATTGTCAGTGCGACACTTGTTTTATTATCAGTAAATTCAGACATTGTCAGTGTGACACTTGTTTTATTGTCAGTAAATTCAGACATTGTCAGTGTGACAAACACTTGTTTTTTTATTGTCAGTAAATTCAGACATTGTCAGTGTGACAAACACTTGTTTTTTATTGTCAGTAAATTCAGACATTGTCAGTGCGACACTTGTTTTATTATCAGTAAATTCAGACATTGTCAGTGCGACACTTGTTTTATTATCAGTAAATTCAGACATTGTCAGTGTTACACTTGTTTTATTATCAGTAAATTCAGACATTGTCAGTGTGACACTTGTTTTATTATCAGTAATTCAAACATTGTCAGTGTGACACTTGTTTTATTGTCAGTAAATTCAGACACTGTCAGTGTGACACTGGTTTTATTGTCAGTAAATTCATACATTAAGTTTAGGGCCAGAGAATATTCTCAATAAATGTCTTGTATAAAAAAAATTAAAAACTGTCGCAGAATCACTTTAATCCATGGGAATCAACATTCATGGGTACCAAAAATTTTACTTGTTCATAGGGACACAATTTCATGGATAATTTGTTTATATATAAAATTAAATTAACTTATACAATGATAAAGTTATTGTTCATGGGGATCTAAATTTGTGGGTAAGAGTGACCCATGAAATCTACAAACATTGATCCCCCACAAACAATGATGATTCCAAAGTAAACTTGCATGCTAATGCATTAATGGGTTCATCCTTGTCAACATGCCATCAAAACCATTCTCTTAGTTTTTCTGCTGAATACAAAGAAGATTTTTAAAGAATTAATTTATTTTCACTATAACATCAATAGAGCCCAACCCTAACACCATACTCCTGATCTAGGGGCCATGAATTTCACAATTTCTGAAGAGGCACATTCTATTGCTAGCAACAGGTGCATTCACAATTCTTCCTTTGGTTGATATTGGTGGTGCAATTTACCATTGGCAAAACATTGGTACCAATGTTTACCATTAGTAACTTTTATTGGTTACCTATTCTGCAGGCCAACCACATTCGCAGCAGAATTACCAACGCAAATTTTTCGTTTATTAGAGTCACCACCAAGATGGCTACCGGGACCGTTCCTGGTAGCGCAAGTGAAGTTTCCTCATAAATAATACCACTTCAGATGAATTTAACAGCTATTTAAAGGAGAATACTCTTAACTTTACAAAGTATTGCACATTTGGTACAAAGGAACGCTCTTTTTGGCAAAAAAATATCACATGAAGACGTGTTCATATAAAGTTATGTCCATAAGAATAATTTCACTTTGTTTAGGCAGTGCAACAAACAGACTTCTTATTGAATTTGTTATTTCTAAAAAAAAATGGTGAAAACTAAACATTTGCCGCCGGTAACCATTGATTACCATTGGTTACCATTAGTAACAAAGTGGTACCATTTGTCACCTTAGGCAACCGTTGGTATAGCCTTTGGCTGTATTGTCATTGGTTTACCAATATGCCGTTCACAGTTTTAAGGCAACCAATTGTACCATTGTTTAACATTGGTGCCAAAGACAGCCAATGGCAAAATCAATATTTGTACCAATGGAAAAATTGTGAACGCACCCAATATATTTGAGAGATAAGACTGCTAACATTAAATGGCAAGATTAAAAATATATATCTTTTATTATTTCCAAAATATTTGACATCAATGAAATGGACAGGTATGATTCATAACAATATTTAAAACATGTACACCATTCTCTTGTCAGTTTATTAAAAACAAAGCCTCAGGTTCTTTCACTTCTGTTGAAATTCTCCAAAAACCATCATAAAAGTTTGAAATCTCTTGAGTAACCATTGTTTGAGAAGCAAGCTATTAATTCAGGGATTTTGTGTCCCCTGCTTAACAAAACATGAGGCAAGTGGGCCACATCGCTCACTTGAGCACACTGGCTAGGAAAAAAAGCAAAAATCAGTTCAGTATTGAAAAGTTTAGGGGGGGGGGGCACTTGAATTTTAAACTACCTGATGATGCTTCCATATCAATATAACAAATGACTTTGCTGTTCTTGAGCAGAAGATTTTCTCCTATATATTCATTTGTAAAAATTTGATCCCCCATCGTGGCCCCACTCTACCCCCAGGGACCCTCATTTAAATGAATTTGATTCTACACTACCTGAGGATGCCTCCATATCAATATGGCTATCATGGCTTTTCTGTTCTTGAGAAAAAGATTTTTCCTATGTATTCCTATGTAAAATATATTCTAATATATTAGAAAAATTGCAGAGAAGAAAAAAAGATCGACCTTGACCTTTCAGCTTTTGGCCTTAAAGTCAATAGAGGTCTTTTAAGGTGTACATTATCAAAGCTAAATAAAGGCTGTATTAGTAAAATTACTTTGTCCAACAGACCCGATAAATAATGGAATTCATTCTGTGTGTTGACAATGTAGCAAAAATAAACCTGATAGTTCTTATTTATGCAGATCTATGAAATCACAGTTCTGAATGCAAACAAATATCACTTGAATTATCTCTGAACCACAGTCAAACCTCGTTATCTCAAACTTGTTGGGACCGAAAAAATGCTTCAAGATATCAGAGGATTCAAAATATCCAGGGTTAAATACTTAAGAAATAAGCACTTGGGACTTCAAAATCACTTCAACATATCCGTGGAATTCGAGATGTTCGAGATACTGAAGTTCAACTGTATTTTTTAATTTCCTGAAATGCCTCTAGAATTTAGAGCTGTCTGAATACAGACTTGTCGAAATTTTTAAATCATTGTCAGACATTTGGTCTGACAAAGTCAAATGTTCTGTCGGACCAGTCAAAGTTTTCTCAGACCAGATACCTGTACCTTATTTGGAAGCTGTGAAAGTCATATGAATAACAGCTCCAAAATGCCCTAGATTATTTTCAACAGCCTTCAATCTTACAAGTTTCCTTCCTTATGATAGAAAGTCTTTAATAAAAGACATAAATGACATGTTTTATGACTTTGCTATAACAAATTTAATTGGCTATCGTCTACACCCCGCGTACGCAGCCATTTCTTCAGTGTTTGTGACCTTCAGCTGCGCATCCTGATCCCGACCTTTATTAAATTTGCATCACGCTCGATTTTTTCAGTCATCTGGACCGACGTTTTCTTAAAAGTTGTCGGTCTAGACAAATTTTTACCGGCCTTGCCGACAGGACCGACGGATTTCGACAAGTCTGTGAATAGCCAGAATTTGTCACTTTGAATTGGGTTCCAGGCTGTTAAAGCCAAGTTTGAAAAAGTGATTAAAAATATATATTTAAGAAATAATTCCTGCATCGGAGGAATTGTTGGAGAATATACCCTGATAGTCAAGAGATTTTGTTGCAAATAAAAACCTTGCCCTTCAGGCTCGTTTTTTTTTTGCCAACAAAATCTTGAGACTGAGGGGTATATGCTCCAACAATTCCGACGACAAGGAAATTATTTCCATTCTGTTACGACAAATCTTTAAACTCCTATATAGCGAAGCGGAGAAGTCGATGTTGATAGCAACATAAGTGCTTATTACGTCACAATTGGACTTCTAATTCATTTGCATTTCACCAATTAGAAAAAGTATCAAAATCTCAAGTAAACTTTTTTCCCACTAATTTGCGTCACAATCAACAGAGGCCTCAGTCCTTTTCCTAACATAAGCAGACAAAATAAGAGAAAATTAGTTGAAGACGTTTCTGATTTCTTGCAGAATAATGGCCGCAGCATTTCTTTGCTCTTTGAAATAACCGTAGTAGAATAGGAATTATTTGCTAGATGTGAGGGTTTTTACAATAAGTAATAAATGTTCCAAGACGCCCAGTGCATGAAATGGGGTAGGTGTAGATTTATTTTCAAAGAATGAGCCACGTAAACAAGCAAGTAGAGCAGACACCATTACGAAGTCTGCATTCCTTTACTTTTATTTGCATATTCAACAGGTATACATATATATAAACCAAATCACAAGTACCTATGACCAGGAGCAAGGCCCTTTAGCTAAATGGTTTCACCGTCTGACATTTATTTCACTATAGTCTTATTTCTTTCCTTATAGCTAATATTACTCGCATGTCTTACTTTTACAAGTGAGAATACAATATTGATATATGCTGTTCATAAACAAACCATGCAAAGTGATTCCCTCCTCGTCAACTTCTTCATAAAATCTGTACAATATAGAAAACGGTGAATTATTTCACAAGTAGTGGTGCTAAGAAACCTATGTCTTTATCTAAGCAAGAGCGTTGAAAAATAGCCAATATGGTATAATAACTATGGTAATTTTTGAAGATATATATAAAGATATTCACTAATAGTCAAATCTTCAGACTTTTCCACGTACTGAAGAAACCATATTTGTAACCCCGGGGTCAACCTCGTTTTCAAAGGAAGACATAATACAAAAGTGAAATAGAGCAGAATTCATATATCCGGGAAAATTATTTTGCTACTTACACTTCTTACTTACTCGAACATTTTACAGTGGTTTTAGTGTGCATTGTTCAATACGTTATTACTATGGTATATGACAATAACAAAACCACAATAGCAATCAAAATAGATAGATAAATAAATAAATAAATAAATAAATAAATAAATAAATAAATAAATAAATAAATAAATAAATAAATAAATAAATAAATAAATAAATAAATAAATAACCGCAAAAAAATCATGCACAATATAGCACTTGCCTTGTAATGTTTATACATGTAGTATAATAGTAGATATATTTTTTATTTACAAATTTTAAATACCTGCATGGTGAATATCTATGAAAAATAGATACATGTAGCTATAAATAATTAAACACATTGATTGACACTCGGCTGTCTCGGCAGAATTCTCTGCTCGCCGGAGTTTACGGAGACAGCAGAGCGTCTTGATCTAAGCGAAAACAGAGAGAGAGAGAGAGAGAGAGAGAGAGAGAGAGAGAGAGAGAGAGAAGGGGGTTAGAGAAGTACACACCCACCCACCCACACCCACAAACACACAGAGAGAGAGAGAGAGAGAGAGAGAGAGAGATACATGTACACCAGATTTTGCTATGCAGTACGAATAAGGCAAACAGAAAACAGCACAGAGCTTCGTTTATTTCTTTGATTTACAAAGAAAAAGAATAATGAAACACCACATGAAATAATATGAAGAAAAAAATTTAAAAGATACATTAAGACGTAAAATCATAAATAGTATTTACCTAATCACGTCTTCCTCCGGAATTTCGCGAGGGGATAGGGATCTAAATGTTAGTACTGATCAACTAAATATCAAATTTATATACGGATAGGGTGGGGTTATTACAAATCCTAAAAAAAAAATAAATAAATAAATAAATAAAAATAAATTTTAAAAAAACTAAAGTAACATTCAGCTGGCAAAAATGGGGGGGGGGATGCTTCCACAAATTTTTATTTAGAAATAAATTTTGTTGTTATGATTAAAGCAGTCATAATAACAAAAATTTTAAAATTAAATTTGTGGAAAGACACTACCGTTAAACATTTGCTACGCTAAAACATTGTATCGCTTACCTCCCTCCTGCTACTGTTAGTCTTAAATTAACATCTTATTACAATACTATACTAGTAACAGTCGCTTATCCAGAATTTGTTGAAACGGGGAGTGAGGGGGATTTTTTTATAACATAACGTATGTTTACATTTACATCCAGAAATTAACAAATCACAACAAGGATGTGAAAGGAAGTTTACAATCATGAAAAAAAAGTTGACTGGCATACAGATTTTACAACTCTAATTCATAAAAATAAAGCAATATTACATTCAGACAGTGGCGTACATGTTAGTCCAGGCCCCGGGATCATAAAACATCTTAGGCTTAAGTCAAAATCTTCATGTTGTTCTAAAATGTTAAAGAAGTAAAACAGACCAAAATTAAAATATTTTTCAATTTTGCTTTGCAAAAGTGTTGTTATCTGCAAATTTAGAGATTAAGTTGACAATTGTGAAGCATTTTACAGGCGATTGGAAATTTGACTTAAGTCTAAGTTTGTTTCGTGATCCTGGGGCCAGGGCTTTCTAAATTTGCAAGACAGATTTTTTCCCCCCAAAACGCACTCGCACTCAACTTTTAAAATATAGATTTTGCAATTAGATCATTGCAATGAAAAGTGCATGTACATTTAACATAATTTGGAATATCGAAGGAAATATATTAACACTATTAATTCTATACGAGTTCATGTTCAATAATTAACATAATGGCTCTATTATGTAAAATATTCAATATCTTACATGTATTAAGGCGCCGTTTTGGTATTTATTGCCATTTAGTGATATCACCTATTCGAATAGGTGATATCACCTATTCGAATAAGTGATATCACCTATTCGAATAAGTGATATCACCTATTCGAATAAGTGATGTCACTCATTCGAATTGAATAGATGATATCACCTATTCGATAAGGTGATATCAATTATTCGAATAGGTGATATCACCTATTCCAATTGGTGATATCACATTTTGGAATTGAATAGGTGATAACATCTAATCGAATAGTAATATCACCTATTCAATTTGAATTAGTGATATCAGTAATTCGAATAGGTGATATCACCTATTTGCATTTCTTACAACAATAAATAATGAATGCTCCCTTCCTCAAGACTATCTAGATTTCCATTGGAACCAAGCAAATTCGGGCTGCCTTTTCCCCTGTATTTTAGTCCGAGACATTTTAAATATCTTATGTTATCGATCCCTGTAAAGTTATATAAATTTTATAAATTATACCCAGCGGGAGTACAACAGAGTGGCATACGGCTCTCTCTATTTATAATGTAAAGTGGGACAATTTCTGTATGGAACAGTTATGCGTTTTTCACGATTTTTCCTATAGTATACATGATACATAAGTGTAATAAATATAATTTGTGAGCAAACAAACTACATGTTCTACGAGGGTGCTTAAAATCAAAAGTAAAGCTGTAATCCATTGTCTCCAAGAACGCTAAGTTATAAAAACGAAAGTGAAAATTAATGAGATTCAAGACTATAGTCTTGGGAGCAGTTGCTATTTCATAAATAATTTGAATAGGTGATATCACCTATTCGAATAAGTGATATAACCTATTCAAAATGATTCGGTGATATCACCTATTCGAATGAGTGATATCACCTATTTGAATTGGAGATATCACCTATTTAATTTGAATACGTGATATCACCTATTTGAATAGGGGATATCACCTATTAAGAAGCTGAATAGGTGATATCACTTATTCAAATATGTGATATCACCGACTGAATAAGTGATATCACCTATTCGAATAGGTGATATCACTTTTTGGCAGTAAATACCAAAACGGCGCCTCATAATTATGTATCTCAATAAATTTAATATCCGCTTAAAAATGGGGAGGGGTATTAAGTACGATAATTGTTGTACAACGTTTAATCAAAAGAATTACCTTTATCAAAATTAGCCCTTCAACATACTCATGTATATTTCAGATCGATTTTAGCAAATTTTTATATTCCTTTGTTGAAGAGACCCAACATATACCACTTTGAAGAAAGTGTTGAGAGTGAAATAATTGTTTTTTCTCTTTCCATGCATGTACACGTGTACTTGGGTTACATTGGAAATGTTTGAGTAACTTAATTAATGCTGAACAAGTTCGGATACATTTCAGAATTCCATCAACAGGTATATACAACTCGATATTTGTCTATTATATACATGTATCTTCTTTGCCAAAATCTAAAGGGGATGAAATGTGGACTGCAACCCCTGTTGCCCCCTCTTAGTTCACCACTGAAACATGAGGAACGTCATAGCTATAAAAAAATGAAAATGAAGTTCTTCCTCATCCCCAAATGGAAAACGTTGGAGCCAATTACATCATGCATAATAAAATTAATATACTTTTAAATACTGGGAACAATTTCCAAACATCTTTTCCCCCTCTAATGCCCTGTTCACACGGAGAGTTTAATTCGAATTAAACGTAAGTTACTGCGAATTAAATTTGATCCGCGTTCACACGGAGAATTTAATGCGAATTAATTTAATTCGAATTAGTTTACTGCGAATTAAATTACTTCGCATTAGCTCCGTGTGAACGCTAAGCGAAGCTAATTCGAATTAAATTTTGACGCATGCGTAAGGGTAGAATTTAGTCAAATGCCACATGTCGGTGGTCAAATATAGGTATTTGTGCTATTTTTGAGTGGAAAACAAAGGAAAACTATGTTAATCACTAAAAACTGTACAGACACTATATAGAATTATGTCAAATGTATATATGCTCTGCATAATGTGACGTGATTTGCAAATGACGTCATAATAGCCTTATAGTAGAAATAAAATTTAATTCGCATTAGTTTACTTCGCATTAGCTGTCGTGTGAACGCAATTTAATTCGCATTAGTTTAATTCGCATCATTTTACTTCGCATTAATTTACTGCGAATTAAACTCTCCGTGTGAACAGGGCATAAGTCTGTGACTAACACAATGTAATCATCGATAAACTTCAGGTTAATCACACTGTGGTTTAATATACTAGTACCTGTTGATTTCTGAATAGGTAAATTGGTCAATAAGTCAGACCCAAAGTTAACAAAAATTGAAAACGATTTGAAATGTGAAATGTAAATAATTGTCAAAATTATGTTAAAAATAAATACATCGTGTACATGTATGATAAATGAGAGATAGAGTTCGCCTCACTAAAGCAATGTAATATAATCAAGGGGCGTTTTATTCAGACAACTATTTTGATGACAATTAATTTGAGATATACTCTTATTATGATGTTCAATTAATCTTTGGATCATCACTTTCTCTATAACAAAGCAAGTTTAAATGTCTATTCTTGTCTTTTCTTCAATGTTATCTTGCATGTAGGAGTATACGTTTTATGAATGCATAAACATTTTCTTATGAATTCATAGAACTTTCCTCGGTTCTACTATGAATCACTTATACTTATGAACACAACCTTTTAAGGACACTCTATGCACTAATGACAAATACTTTTTGGACATTGAGGTAGTTATATTCTACAAAGGTGAAGATGCTAAATTTATCTATTTCATTTTCAACGTAAGGTCCAGCCATTTAACACCCCCCCCCCCTCCGGGAAAATGTTAAAAGACAATGGAGTATTGGTGAACAAAATCAATGCTGCTTACTGAAAATGAAAAATAACA